TGAAAATCGAGCGCCAATGTGGAAGCTTCGCGTTTCCATTTTCCAAGAGAGAATTGAAGTTAGACAGTTCGTTCTTATTGTGACAGGAAGTCTCTCTCTCTTTTTCTCTCTCTTTCTCTCTCTCTCTCCCTCTCTCTCTCTCTCTCTCTTGCTCTCGTACACAAAAGCTACCCAATTTTAGATTGGCCTCCAAAATATCGATTAATCTCCGCCCGATTTAACGCGTTTGAAATTAAACTCACTTTGATCACTCACGGATCGGTACTGTCAATTAACACACCGTCGCTTTATCGCGAGCTCGTTTCGTTCCACTTTAACTTTCATCCGAATCGCCTTAATTTTTATAAATGGGAATTAAACGATGACGATTCTTGGAAATGACCATTTGCCCACGATAAAAGAGACAACATAACCACGAGGATAGTCACCTATTAACGCTCTATTAGCAAATTCGATTAAGGGAAATCTACAGCCACTTGCCACCGCACAATCGCGTTGTATACTATTACTGTATCCCTACTATATATACAGTCGGATCTACTACGATTACTACTGATTACAACACCATCGCTAATCCTAATCACTGACACAAACTGATACTGCTGATATTACTAACGTTACTACTTGTACTATTACACTACGGCTGCGTCTCCTCTGGTCGTTAACGAAGATATCTCTCGTTTGTGCACCGACAGGAAATTCCAAACGGTCCATTCGGAAAATAATGTGCTTTTTACTTCCTTCCTTTCCGTGATCAAAATCCGATTTTTTTCGCTGACAGAGCACAGATGCGTCCGGTGATTACCGAATGCGGTGTGAATTTATTCTCGTAACGCTAGCTGCTGTTCGACTAACACTCTGTAACTTCTCTCTATCGCAATTTTTGTCCTCCAATGAGGCAAAAATTAAGAGAATGCATTTTTCATTCCGTTTCATTTCCCCGGAAGGAAAGTTCGGATTATAACGGCGCATAGTACCGACGGAGAGAATTTTCCTTAACGACCCGGTCAGGCAGTTACTACCACGACGTGAATCATTCTCAGGCCCATCTTTTACGGAGAGGCCACATTTTCATTACTACGTCACGGGAAAGTTGATGATCGTGTGCGCGCGCGCACATGTGTGTGGGTGTGTGAAGGAACAGTGGTAGTAGCGTTGCATACAGAGAACACTTCCTCCATGACGTACTTGTCACGATACGTCTACACAATGTGAAAATGGGTTCACACCAATAAATCAGTCATCGCTGTTGCTGCTGCTGCTGCTATCTCACTGCCGCTGTTGCCGCCAGCGTTGACGTGAGCGACTCATACACGATCCAACGACTCGCGCCTCGCTCTATCACATAAACAAACCATGCATAATCTCTCCCTCTTTATCCGCGTAGTTGACGTATTCTTTTTTTTTATCAATACGTGTAAATTTCCATTTTCTCTGCGTATGCGCGCTTCTCCAGATCCTTTTACATTGGTTCTACCTCATTTGGATCCCTTCTCTTCGAAGAAGCGCGAACGAACCGTTAGATGATGTACGAGACGCTCAACGAGACTGAACTGTCGCTGTCTCGCGTGTATACAATTAACAGCTGTTGTTCAGGTGGTTTAATCGATCGTGATCGTTCTGTTTCCGCATTTTCCTACACCCAAACTTCCTGACCCCTCGCCTCTCTGTACGATCCATTATACACACACACACACTCACTTTCCTCCGCGTTTCTTTATTTTTTTGTTTTCTCTTTATTCCTTCGTCTTTCCATATAGATCTCAAGCAAATGTTTTCTTCTTCTTCTTCTTGATTCTCTTCCCATCCGAACGACACATGGGATGCGTTCGTTCTGATGCGCGTGTGTGTGACGTGATAATGGCATTTGATGCAGAGAACACATCTTTACCGAGCTCTCGAATTTTCTCCTCAGCGGCGGTCCTTTTTACGCGCTCTTTGTCGACGATGAAATTCAGAGACGTTGCTAAGTGCACTCTCATCAAACGCTATTATCGCGTTCGCTTTTTACAATACGATTCTATTGTATTACGGGTGTATCTGAATTATATCGCGACTGCGATAATTACGGACACGAGTCGGACACTACGAGAATTTTCGATGAGGAAAATGATGTTCGGATCATACGGAATTTTCATCTTGTGCAATTGATCTACTCAGCGCTTCGACTGTATATATTCGCTCTATAATTAATAATCACGCTAAATAATTCGATACAATCGGCGAGCGGATAATGGACCTCGGCGTAATACGAACTGCAATTATCGTGAGATAATGTCATTTATTCAGAGGTGATGATCCATCATCGGCGTCACCATAATAATCGCCGAATAGCAACGGCTTGTCGCCGATCGAACGATTGATTTACCATAAAGTGATTCGGTCACTATAGAATGAGTATGATCAATATTAATTTTTAGCACCACTTTCGTCACTAGCGGCTCGTTAATCATCGCATAACGTTGCAGTGTCACATTCGTGTTCGTAATTAACCCCGATCGATCTCACTTCACAAGATACATGCTACAATTCTGGATTGTGTACTTATTTCTTACTATACTCCGTAGCCACTCGCGCGAAGCTTACAGCTGTGTCGCTTTCAGTCTACGTGTAAAATATATATATATATATACATATCTCTCTCTTTTCATGTACATATATGCATATATAATTTTATATACATATATATTATATATACGCATATAATTACATGTATATATCTCTCTATATACATATCGATATGTACCTGTAATCGTTCTATCTAGTGTACAGATAAAGAAAGTATATAACTTCCTATGACACGTAATCGCTTGGCGGTAGATGTCTGTCTGTCGTAACTTGTTTTATTTCTCTCCTCTTCTATCTGATCTTTTTCTTGCTCCTTTTCTTTCTCTGTCTCTCCTTGTCTGTATTTTTTTCCCCGCCTTCCTATCTTTCTCTCTCTCTCTCTCTCTCTTTCTCTTTCTCTATATATCTCCTTGGTTGCAATCTGTGCATCGAACGTATAACTACTCTCTGTCGGCCGTCGTCTTACCAAGTAGATACTGTCCCCGCTTGACTTCGAGTCGCTGGCCGAAGTATATGTTTGCGGTACTGTTTAAAGGAGATGTTTATCACAAAAGGACTCATATATATATATATATATATATATATATATATATATACTATAAATATATATATGTATAATTGAACCGATCGCCTAATCGGGCTCGAGACGGAGAACAAGGAACGCGTGTTGAACAAAAAAAAACAAAGAGAAAAGAACGAACGAAAGAAAATGCGCGGCGTGTCGTCGACTCAGGCGAGAAACTCCGCTCGGCGCGATCGCGCCAATCGCGCGAGTCGCTGCTTAGCACGACGAGGGTAATTAGCGGCGTCCCCGCTGCCATATAATATGATCATCGTCTCATCGCCCATCATCCTCGGCCGACTCGCGTACATTCGTTCTAAAGACGAGCGAAGTCGACTACGACGTCGAAGAGACGTTACCCGACGATTCGCCGCGTTTACCCACGCGAGATGTGCCCGTCATTGATCGAGCCGATTATCAGTTATTACCGGTGTTATCGGAGGAAGAGGAGTTCGCGGTGTGAACATTATTAGAATGATCCCGCGAGAATCTTTCCGTCGTTGGAATCTTCCTTTCGAAAGTAGGCTAGCACGGATTCTGTTGTAGCTCTTTCCTTTTTGTACCCGGTATTTCGAGACTATTAGTTATTTCGCGCAGATGAAATAGGTATTACCGGCAGAATAATTCACGTCTTGGTCTAATAACTTTAGCGCTTTACGTACGTACAGTTCGCAAAGATATTCATCTGTTGAGAATCGAGAGAAGACGATCTCTTGTTCTCCACTGATAATCGTGTCTCTGTCAATGTCGCCGGCGCATCTTATCCATTTGTGTTCCATTAGATCGTCTATCTATCTTGATCTTTTTCTCTCTTTCTGTCTCTCTTTTTCTCATTACTCATCATTACTCTTAATATCGTCGACACGTCGTGTCTGTCATCGTTGTTATCTTTCTATTCTTTCGTCTATGATTTCTAACGTAAGCGGTTAACGACGAAGGCCGGTTGAAATCATGGCTGATTCATTGCGATTGCGAAGAAAACTTAATTAAAGTCAATGTGCGATTCTATCTTTCCTCTCTTCCTCTTTCTTTCTTTTTCCTTCTCCCTCCTATTCTTTTTTCCCAATTAATTGGTATATTTATGGCAATTTAACTGAAGTTTACCTCATTCTCAATTAACGTCTGCATTTCCAAATTTCCAAAACGACCGTTCCAAAGAGGCTCAAACTTCGGATATACCCGATTAAAATACTATCGATGAATTTTTTATTTTCTAGAAAAGTTGATTCCATCATTGATACACGGATAAAGCATTTCGTTGTTCGCGAGTAGCACGATAAACGGCATGGTTGCAACCGGCCTAAGAAGAGGTTGGACGAGCGATTATCGTCGTATGGTTGCGATTAGGACGATGTATGTGTGATATTACAGCGACATAATCGCGAGCTGCCTCCGGCTCTTTGTCTCAATTATTATTATTCTTACTCTCCCCTCCCTTGTTATGTTATTTTTCATTTACTATTACCACTACTATTATTATTCCATTATTATTATTATTATTTATTATTCTCGTTATTATTCGTTATTATTATCGTTTGACTTCGATGAATATGATATTATTATTTGTTCGTTACGCGGCACGTCTTGTCGAATAACGCGATATTCGGAATGCCTATCTTTTCACAATGAACGATGGTAAAAGCTATCTAATTAATAGTCTCATTATCGCGTCTGCTATTTGATATGGAACTGATATGGTGACTCGAACGAAAAGCGTTTTCGCCTTTCGTCACATTTGGCGGACAGGACGTGCTGGCGGATTTTGTTTGCTTTCTTGTCTGTGACTTTATTTCGCAGTTATTTACGCACGCATCCACTGAGAACGATCTTTCGTTTCCGTTAATGTGTGGCACCTTCGACCCTGTCGTAGAGCGAGGAGATCGGAGCGAACACTCTGACGATGTTAGACCACCAAGGCGGTAAGCAGTTCCCAACAGCAATAAGTCACTCTCTTGCGAAGAACGAGCGAGCGATGCGATGACAGTTTCCGACGGAAAGAACGGGAAAACGACAAAGAAATAAATATGGGGATGGGGAGGGGGGCAGAGCGAGGAAATTATGATAACGGTGATAAAAGGGCAGGAAAAAAGAGCTGATGGAAAAGCGAAGAGGCGCGAAGCGAAGGATGTGAATGACACGTGGCAAGGGAAAGAATAGCCGGGAGTACACGTGCACGCCCTTCGTTACTTGCCAATTTGCGTTTTCCTGCGGAAAGGGCGGGCGGTGTTTCCGATGCGTAATTGGGATCCTGGCGGAGTCGAGAGCGCTAAACGAGCAATTGATTACGAACGGCCGACCGTGATCCTTTGTGATATTGTGCTTACCTTTTTCACGTAAAAAAAGCAGGATTATCGGCGATATTAAATTGTCGATATATAGTGTATCTTCTTTGTCGTGATGTGACAAAATCTCAAGTCTATATTTTCACTTGACAATCTGATAATGCTTTCGACAGCTAAGTTGAGATTCTGCTTTGTTATTTATCAACATCATTTATCAATACATAGACGTTACGTTACGTAATGCCGCAATCGATCATCGACCGTACGAATTTGATTCTCGTTACGCGACTCTTCGTCGCGGTAATCCATAACGACAAACCCATTCGCTACTTTATTACCGCCGTCGTCGTCATCGTCGTACGAAGATACAATGAAAATTCCGCGATGACGAGCGATCCTCTCGCATCCGCTAGCGAATGGGTTGATAGGACGACTCCGTTGTCGTCGAAAAAGTCGACATTCGACATCATCGATATCAGGTCACTTCAGCATCAACGACAACATGATCGTTTTTAGGCTCTTACCGTTTTAGACCACCTGACGAAACTTCCTGTTCGCCACCTCGATCTTGTCTTTGTCCCTGAACCTGATACTAATCTCCGATATTATATCTTTCAGCGGGCATGACGCTCTATCAATGTCTCTACGTGTGCGCAGGACACTTAACGAAGAGTCCTGTTGTCCTCTTATCTCTTTCTTCTCTCTTTCTCTCTCTCTCTCTCTCTTTCTCTCTCTCTCTCTCTCTCTCTCTCTCTATATATATATATATCTCTATCTCTCTCGCCACTTTCTGTCTAGCTTTGCTCTGCTCTGGTGTCTATTTACTCGCAACCCTTCGCACTTCGGAAATATGATATTTTACGTTCGTATCGCGATACCAAAGTATTACGTGTCAAAGTGGAAGGGAGTGAGATTAACAAACACCCCTAATTATTAATGCAGGATCAATGCTCCACAGAAGTCTCTTTTCCGAGTCACGAAACTTTGCTTCGTACAATTGCATTTTGTCATTTTATGTATTAAATTGAAATATTGGAATAGTTATCACATTCATATACATACGTGAACATGCGTGAAGTACGAAGGATTGTCATCGATTTCAATCGAGATCACGATTCTCGTTATCGGAAACTGCGCGAGCTTTATCCCTCGTTCCGTCTGAATTTTTTATTAGAACGTTTAGCGAAATAGATCGTCATCATTCTTCTTCTCATATGTACACCCCATTCATAACTTGAATTTTCTACTCACATCCGCCCCTTCCCCCGCGAGATTTGCATAAAGATCAATTATCGCGAGAATAATCGTTATAAACGCTTTTTCACCGATTACCATTTACATTTTTCATCCACCGTGAATTTTCCCGATTATTAGTCATTATCGGGGAATGTCAAGAGTTACGCATTGCCATTTACTTCCCTCTGTCTCTTATTTTCTCTCTCTCTTTCCCTCTATTTCTCTCTTTCTCTCTGTCTTTCACAAACTGTATTTCCACTTTACTCGCAATTAGCGAATGTCAATTACACACTGTCGCATCCCTATTTCATCCGACCCCTTGAAAGTAGATTCAATGAAATCCTTCTGGAAATTAATTGGGAAAATGTAACGGGGGTGAAACCTTTCGTCGTGTCTACGATCCCCACCTCTTCTCCTCACACTTGTTACATTGTCAAACCCCCGGTGTTTGTCGGTGTTCGCTGTCAACCGTAAAGCGTCACGTCGTCATACTTTCCTCACATCCAGCAGTCTCCTTTCTCCGACACTCCATGATAGATTAATTAGTTCAGGCTGAAAACTCGTCGTCCGCGCTTTCTCGCCGCTCCGACATTATCTCATCTCGCTCTTTGTCTCCCCCCCTTCTCGTTCTACTATCTTATCCTTTCTTTCTCTTTATCGCGTTCTCTATATCATATCTTTCCTGAACCTCTTTTCTTCTCGCGTTAACATTGGTGAATCGCGAGAGGGGCCCCTCGTGAGGTCCCAGTGCCGAATTTACTTTTCTTTTTTTTTTGGGGGGACCGCCGCGGAGCGAGGCGAGGGAGCGTGTCCCGACGGCGATTAATTATTCCTGTACGTCAATATGTTTTAACACGCCGCTGATTGGTCGGTTGCCTGTTTAGAGCCACGAGGTCGGGATGAAAACCCTCGTAATGCTGGACGAGCAAGGCGGTAAGCCACTTCACTCTAGCCTAACATAAACTACATAGATCCACCGCGAAAAACGTGTAAAGAAAGAGAGAAATCGACAAACAAGACAAAACAGAGAAAAGATGACAAACAAAAAAAAACAAAAACAGGACACAAAAGAAAATATCAAAGAGAAAAGTTGCAAAAACGAAGCTCTCTCTGTAATCACGCCGGTCCCGGCAGACACAAAGCGACAACCGGCGATATAAATATGTAAATTTTACAATACAGTAGATATATATGTGTGTGTGTGTGTTATACACATACGGTGTATGTGCGTCGGATAAGAATAGTACTCGTTCGTCGCTATAAATATCCGCGCGATACCCTCTTGTGCTGTGTTAATAAAAATATTTCAGATATTATATAAACAGACACGGGGGAACACTCGTGTATTATCGGCCGTTCAATACCGATCAGTCCGCCGTCGAGGAGGCCCAGCCAGCTCGTTGTTCGTCCTTCGAAATGCTTCGTTCCATTTTAAAGCGACGGCTGCTTATTAACCGAGAATGCGGGAGATACAGTGCGAATATCTTTCTTATCCGTACGCGAAATATACGGCGGTATCTCAAGGGAGGAAACGAGGCGGACGATAATGTGTGGGGATGACGTCGATTACGGGCCGACGAAAGTGTCATTTTTTTCTTAAATGACGTATCTATTCGTTGCCGTTTTCACAAGCATCACTTCTCAAACATCGCCGTGTATTTCGCACGCACCATCGTGTAGACAAATCGTCCTCGGAAGGGGGATCGGTGGGCGGGCTGCAGGATTCTCCGACTCCGCGAAGCGGTTCGTAGCCGATTTTTCCGCGCGTGCGGAACTTTGGTTTCCCTCTCGTTCGAATTCCGGACGACCTTTAAGGCTTCCATCTTTGCCTCAGATCTTTGTCATTTTAACCCTTTCTCTCCTCGAGAAATTGTAATCAGCAGTGACAAAGCTCGAAGTGGGACAGCAGTGCGTTTCTGACGAACGGCCGTTGAAATTTGCCCGCTCACAAGGAAAGTCGGCGAACCGCCGAATGAGAGAAACGAGGCCTCGCTACTCGCGCGCAACCCCTTTTCGCGGGACACCCTTGAGATGATTGTGCGTGTGTCCACATTTGCGATACTTATGCGACATTCACGTGTGCATCGTCGAGACACCGCTGTTTACTTATTGCCAAAAGCCCAGGGGCGTAGCTTGGGATTTTGTGGAAAAGCAGGAAAAGCGGAAGAGAAGGAGGTGGAGGAAGAGGAGGAGGAGGAGGATTTGCGCAGCGGAAAACTCCAAGCGGAAACTGAGAAAAGAGCAGCGACTTGCTATTGTTGTTGTCGAGACGCGGAAACGTCGTCTCGCTGCTCGTCCTTACTTTGCTCGTCCTATCGCTACGCCCCTGTTATCAAACGATAGTGTCTCTATCTATCTCTCATTCTCTTTCTCTCTCTCTTTTTATATATATACTATCCAGCAGCATCCAAAAAGCAGACCATCGTTATATATATCGTTCACTTACATTTCGCCTCAGCGCTCTCAACGCGGTGTTTTCCGTTTCGGCTAATTCTGACTTCACCGACTCTTCTTCGCACTTGGGTTCTCTTCCGCCCTTCTTTCCGCTCCTCTTTCTTCGGCTTCTCGGGCTTCGCCGCTCTGTCTGCGTAACTACTTTCTCTTCTACACTCATACTAATACTGTCAGTTACGATACTTACTTCTTCCGTCCACCCTCTCTTTCTCTCTCTCTCTCTCTCTCTCTCTCTCTCTTTCTCTCTATTTCTCACCTCTCATCATTCTTCCGGTTCCCTTCCTGAATTCTCCTACAACCATTCCCTTTGGATTCCTTTCCTCCACCGCAAATCCGAAATTCTCACTCAAACTCCCTCGAGGTCCGTTCGCACCGCACGAGTTTTGGCAAGACTTAATATGTTTAGATATCGTTATGTATATCATCCTTAATATTATATATTAAGTATGTTTAATTCTTTTTAATTTTAATTAATAACTCTTATTAAGATTATATATTGATATAATTTATTGAAATATAACTTTTGATTGTTCTGCAATATATCCCAAGCCCGTGAAAATCGGTGTGGGACACTTTCGAGACACGTTTTCTTGCAAGAATGTTACTCGTAAACTTCAACTTCAATATCCGTGTAGATACGCTCTAGAGATACGCTCGCAGGTTCGAATTATCGGACTCCTTTAACCGGTGATGATGAATCAAGCGATAAAAGTGACAATCGGGGAACGAGAGAGAAATCCCAATCACGATTCGCAAATCGTACCGAAAGAATCGTGTGGCGCGAACGGATCTTCACAGAAAACAGAGAAAAACAAAACAAGCGGACAACAGACGTGATCGGGGCTTTACGAGTACGCGTACAGCACATCCGGCGAAGAATGATCCATTGGACCCAGTTTTACGCGCGTGTTAATTGCGTTCACCGCCTACTTCGACACGCTCTCGTGGCCTTTCGCCGCACGACGATTTTGCCCACATCGGTCGGTGAAACGCAGATCGATATCACGTCAAGATGCGACCGGAACAACCCGCGAATAATCCAGCTTCGAAAATTTTCACAGCCGGAATTTATATACCCTGTTACTCGTTACGCTTAAACCAGCCTGGTCGAGCACTCGATATAGTCGCGTTACAAGGATATCGCTTACAACACATATTAGTCGAATATGTACTCCTACGCGCGTATACCCTTAGGCAAACTCGCGTTCATTGTATTTACTGGCTAAAACCTACTACACTGCGTGGCACGTGGATACAGGGTGTCCCACGGGACTCCTCTCTCTCTCTCTTCCTCACCATCGTTGCTATCTGATTATTCGTATCTCGAGGAAAAATTCCGATCGAAATTCTCATTACGAAGATGAAAAACTCGCTCAGAGTTTCGTCGAAAAGAATACTCGCGAGAGAGAGAGAGAGAGGGAGAGCGAGCGAGCGAATATGTTCCCTTGTTCTCTGTTTCGGGACACCCTGTACACTTGGCTGAACTCCACCACCCACTATGAGGAATCCACTGCACATATTCGGTAGGCACATGACAGAACAACTCACCCCCGATGCAGGAACGTCGAGCAAGGAAACTTTTCGCTTAAACTGCCGCGCTTTCGTTGCACTTTACTCTATGCGGAGTTCGCGAGCTCTATCGAGCGGATCACGTGGTTTTCTTTTTACTCTCGCGAGATCCTTACCCCACCGTGTTCTCTTTCTCTCTTTTTTAATGGCATTCAGACGGTACAATAAATCACTTTCCCGTACCTCCTTCTACTTTGTCTCTGTCCCGTCAAGTTTGAATGTCTCGCGTGAAACGAATTCCGATCCACAATTATAAGCATGAATTTAAAAATTTGGCAAAAACGAGTCGAGTTTTTGATTTTTTACACTGTTATCTGGACGCTTGAACAAATCGTTACCTGTCATTAAGAAGATAGTCAATTGGGTGTCAACAGATCGTCGATCCGCTCGATGGACCTCCCGTCGTAGAAAATGAACAATCGAACGCGGCCGTTGAAGACAGGATGAAAAGGGCGCCTCTTATCGTCGAAAGTCTGTGTGGAAAATTTCACGACTCGTCGCACGCGGACTCGGAAATTTCATTTTGTATCGACGGGAAACATTTGCGAGATCGACTCGATCGTCGATTTTTTAATCTCGGAATTCGGAAGGTGACAGTTGCGCGATCGAAAGCGAGGAAGGGAAAAAAGGAAGTACGAACGAACAAACGAACGGAAACTCGGAAGATTGCAAGAGGCGTCCCTTTCCTTGTACCAGCGAGGGTACCACCCGAGCTTACTCGCCTTTATTTCCCGAGGAAATAAAATTATATAGCGAAAGAGAGGATTGGGCAATGCACTTGCACTTTCGTTCGCCTTTTTAGTCCGCGGCCGCTTGATTACATTACATTACGTTTTCGCAGTAAAAGTTGCCGGCAAATTCTAAGCCGCTTGAAGCCGCAAACTTCAGCTTTTCGTGGCGTTCGGCATCATCGTCTCCCTCTCGATTTCAAATTAAATCTAGAAAATTGACATTTAAACGATAAAGAGAAGAAGAAAACTGTATCAAATGAAGGAATCGACGAGAAATACCGAAAGATCGGTGCGAGAATTGATCGAGATCGCGCGCCGCGAAGAGCTAAGACCTCTTTTTTTTTCTTTATTTTAGACAAGCTTGATTATTATATCACGTAGGAAACATTTGTCGACAGAGCCATAGAGAGACATTTGCCAGAGAGGTCAGATTTAGTTGATCGCTTTTAGAGCGTTCGCTACATTAGATTCCTTATTAGAAGTAAAACAACTTTTCTCGCGTGGTTGCCCTTTCCCCTTGGAATCCTCGCGACTCTCGCGAGTCGCGTTTCTTGTCATCGACATTAACGTTGTATTATCCCATACGACAAAAACAGAACAGCTGGACCGAATCGAGGAGGGCATGGACCAGATTAACGCCGATATGAGAGAGGCCGAGAAGAATCTCACGGGAATGGAGAAGTGCTGCGGGCTTTGCGTTCTTCCCTGTAACAAGTACGAAACAACTATCTTAGCGTTTACCTCTCTCTTTCTCTCTGTCTGTCCCTCTTTCTTTTTCTCTCTTTCCTGTATATTTGTATCATCACCTCGTCTCTTTGCTAGAATTCAAGAAAAAGGAATCCGAATAGTACAACGTCCAAAATCGTGTCATAAGACATCTTTATGATATCTTAACGTCTTGTGACTCGATTTTAGACGTTGTGCTGCTTGGGTAAAAAAAAACTATCGCGTATAGACCGGGACAAGTTTGCATATGGAGTAGAGCGTTATCCATGCGTTTCATTTGCATATTGTGAGGGAAACAGTGGCTAAGAGAGAAATCGCTGCTTTCGGGAGGACACTCTTCTCTCAGTTTCGTTTTATAATTCTGAAATGCTTGCGAGCCTGTCTCAAGTCTCTTGCTTCACGAGCAAGAGATTCTTTCCGCAATATGTACGCGACGTAGTACGGCCGTCGGGGCCCGCGCCAGATAGCCGTGTTTTAATCACGTCGCTCGCCGACGATCTTGCTTACGACAGGAGCGCCAGCTTCAAGGAAGACGAGGGCACGTGGAAGGGCAATGACGACGGCAAGGTCGTGAATAACCAGCCGCAGCGAGTGATGGACGACCGCAACGGAATCGGGCCGCAAAGCGGTTACATCGCCAAGATCACGAACGACGCGCGCGAGACCGAGATGGAGGAGAACATGGGCCAGGTGAACACGATGATCGGCAACTTGAGGAATATGGCGATCGATATGGGCAGCGAACTCGAGAACCAGAACCGGCAAATCGACAGGATCAATCGCAAGGTGAGTGCGCCCCCGGGTTTGTGACGCTGCACCGTCGCCGGATGGACTTGGCATGGCACCTGACGATCGCCCGGCGCGTCGCGAAATTTTACCTGACACGCTCGCTACCAACCACACGTTATGACGCGTGCTTCACCATCGTGCGCTTGGACCTGGGTACGATTCCCCTCGTGTACGCGTGTGTGTATGCGTGTGTGTGTATGCGTGTGTGTGTATACGGCAGCGATATTTTTTCTCTCCTTTTTTTTCTTCTCTTATTCTACGCCCGTCACAAAACAAACGCCGAGTCTGTTTAACATTTTCTTATAAATCAAAAGAAAAGGAAAGGAAAATTAAAAGCAGGGTGCTTCGTGGCGGACGGTTTTCCAGTTGAACGGTGGTAGCGATCGTGTTAACGGGGGATGAGCTGACACGTGTCTCGTCTATTATGCGCGAATCTCTATGTCACAATGCACAATGCGGCTCAGAGCGATGCACATCACGTTCGTCGTCGCTTTCGCTTTCTTACCGTATCCTCTCCTCTCTTCTTCTCTTCCTTCTTTCCCCCCTTTCTTCCGTTATTCCTTTCTGTCGTCCTCCCGAATCCATATTCGTTCTCTCTTGCCGGTTCCTCCTGCTCCTTTACGTGCGTTCCCGACTCGAGTGGGTGTCCCAATGACATACGTCGTCGTCTACCGCGTATTTTTTCACCTTCCCCGGAGGATAAGGGATCCGAGAAGCAGCCCAGCAACGCTACACGCACTGATCCGAGGAAGCCTTTCGATCTCGAAAATTGCATGCGTACCGCACGTGCATCGCACGATTAGCCGCTGTACTTTCCGCCCTGTCCCTACATACGTCGTCCTTCTCCATGGCACCTTGTCGATATCGTCCAGAGACACCCGTGCTATTATTCTTTAACTCTCCTCTCAGCGCACAGCCTGCCTTCTGTGTTCTTATGCAATTACTGCACCACCCTGCGCGTCTAATCACGCTTCGGATTTTTGCCTCTTTTACTTTCTCTCTCTTTCTTTTTCTATCTCTTTTTTTTTTCTCTCCACGAGATTCTCTCGCAAGGATTATGGTAGTTTTCACGGATTCTCAACGTCGCGAAAAAAGGAAAAAAAGAGGGTAAAAATAGAAACCAGTGAATTAGCGGGGAAAGTGGATAACATTTTCGTTCGAAGAATTAACGTGAAGATAAAGAGATAGAAGACTTTTACAAATATATAGGTGGATTAGCATAATTAGCAATTCGATTTGTTAAATATTGGGTTTAACATCACGACGATATTTATATAAATGAAAATATAGGAAACGACAACTTTCGTCACTGTATGTCTGGCTATTTGAGAGTTTTTATTTTTCTTTTTCTTTCGGAAGATAGTCGAGAATCCTCGCAACCTCACTTCTGAACTTTTACCATACTCCTTTTATAGTAGGTCCTAGACTAAGACAAAATGAAAAGGCGGAATTGTTCGGCTGTAAAGTGCTCTTTAGACGATCAATATGCATTCACACTTTAACGAGATGATATTTCAACATATAATTATCCGTCATATTACTTATTACAAGTTTCTTATTACCGCTATTGTCACTTATCGGTCTCATTTCCCACACTATTCGTGTGCATTTACCGTGTGTATAATACTTACGAGCATTTGCATTAACCTGGATTAGATGCACAGTCAATAATCGATATTCGATGCATCAATATTTACCCTTCCACCTTTAATATTTATTAAGACTAAATTTATCGGCGGTTTCCGCCTTTCTCTCTCGACCTATTTCCTCACGTCTCTTCTTCGCTTTTCTTATTAACGAGATGCTTCTTTCCTTCGTACGTTCGACACTATTGTCGGCATTAGTCCGTCGGAATCTTTTTTGTTGACAATATCTGTCCCACGATGACATTGCTAATATCGACGCATCGATGATAAATATTGATCGTTCGAGGAACGCTAGCCTATCAAAGACCATAAATTCGGAAAATTCGGCAGAAAAAACGATTTTTCGAAAAAGGGCAAATTATAAAGCGTGTCTCCCGCGTATTCGAGCGTCATCTTTCAATCGTTGCGAATAAAGTACGTTTAAATGTGCCAACATATAATTGAGTTCTCGGTGATTTTAATTTGATGCGATAAAAAAAGTTTACTGTGAGAAGTGGAATAATTATGGTCTTTGATGGGATGTCACACAGCGGGTGGAGTGCACAATTTCGGACTGTCCGCAGTTAATTTCCCGAAAAGTTATAATCTGATCTACAATGGGTTCAATGGGGAACAAAAGCGGGGTGAAATCTCAATCGAATGGTAAATTTTTTATTTGATCTTTCCATATATTCTTTAAATTTCTCTTAACAAAACTTCATTGAAAACGTAGAGTGACGGCCGAGTCATTCGAGTAACTCTTTACTTATCTAAAATACCGTCGAAAGTGATAGTCTTCTTCCAAAACTATCTTGAAAATCAGTTTGGTAGTTCTCGAAAATATGCGATCGTGTTAACATATCTGTTATTAATCACATCGCGTGTCAACGAACAAACGATACTCCGAGAGCTCGCGGAATACGGTAAAATCCGTCGTAGCCGCACAATAAACTGAATTACCAGGTAATGTTGAAAGGGTTTAGTCACCCATCCCTAACGGCGAGACTCTAGTCGCGAGATTGTGCACCCGGTTGGGTGGAATTTAAGCCACAGAAACGCGCGCGCGCGCGAACATACACACACACACACACAGATTTCACATCCCTTTACACACACACACACACACTTCTGTGACCGAAACCCGAACTGATAATCCGCAGGGCGAGTCGAACGAATCGAGGATAGCCGCGGCGAATCAACGTGCGCACGCCCTGCTCAAGTAAAATGCGTCTTCTTCTCTCTGTCCACGTATCCGCCTCCTCCGAGCCCCAAGTTGCATATCACAAAGATGCGTTTCTAAAAAAAAAGAGGAAACGCAGAGAGAAAGAGAGATTATATGTATATGTGTGTATTATACATATATAGAATCCTGATCGCATATTATCGGGGGCTGAGACTATTCGACGTTCTTACGTGCTCGGTATTATCTCGAGGGACGAATTAAGTTATATAAATAAAATGATTTAAACTAAATTATTTTATCAAATTATCAAATGAGTTAAGCACGACGATCGAATATCATGCGTGGTTGCATCGAATTTCACGTATTTATCCGAAATATGTATCCGAATATGATATCGAGTTGCGAGGCAATGTAATTGGTGGATACATACAATTATATCCTATCTGAATGTAACGATCGTGTTTAATCGTCAAGTCGCTCGAGTATCGATTCGCTCGGATATTCCCAGCTCGACGAATGATGATCATCCCCCGCCCGCTCACCCTTCTTTCTGATCCTTCTTCTGTCTTCTCGTCGTCGCTGCGGCACCCAAACCCGCGCCTGTTGTTTCCAACACCTGATCCAACATACCTGCGCAATGACACCACCGATAACCACTTGTAACCACCGTTACCACTACCACCACCATTACCAGACTTTCCAATATACGACGATATACAACGAATGACCAATAATAGCGTCAGGGCATACCGTGCTTCTCAGGGGAAATAACCGAGTACTGGTCGATTCTAAAATTCAAATTCCAAGTTGACAGAAATATATGTCTCGACAAAAACAAAACTTTCTCAGCGAAATAATCGCGAGATTTTGTTCAGGATTTCACTTTGTTCGGAAGCTTGACGAAGAGACCGATAATTCCAGAGAAATTCGGTCGAAACTATTGACAATGGCAAGCTCGAACCTTCGTTTTACATGGTGGGCTAACGGAAGTTGACTTGGTTAACGATGACCAGCCATTCGTCATCTGATTATTGGTGACTGTCCGGGATCGCATCGGTCTCTCGCTTTTCGTTCATTTCGGTGACACTTAAATAAACGGAGACGCTATCGGACATCGTGAAACGATCATTCTGTCAATTCAAGGAACGTTCAACCCGTTCGGACAGATTCTCGCGGTCTCGATCGTGCTCTCTAATGGAGACACCATCTAGGGAAGAAGCACGGTGTACCGTGACGAGCGGTAAAGTGCATCGCACTGAGATGTATCATCACTCCACGTCACCACGTCTGTTATGAAATGCAGCCAGGGTTGGGAAGTAATGCGTTACTTTCCTTCAGTAACGGCGTTATTCTTTTTCTTTTTGTTATTAACTGTAACGGTAACACAATTACATTTTTTTGCAAAGTTAAATTTGTTATTTTTCGTGAAGAGAGATCTACTCTAAAAACTTTTACTCTAAACTCGGTGAAAAAAAGTAACGAAAATTGTAACGGCTCGTTATTTGTCGAGTGACGATAACCGACACGAGTTACTTTGCGAATGAACAACGGTGACTATATATACACACACACACTTTTCAATAACGAGTAACAGATCACTTTGAAAAAGTAACTTTCCCAATCCTGGAGACGCCCACATCCATCGTGTTCTCGTTTGTGATTGTGTCACGAGCGCGTGCTCGTCGTTCAGCCTACATTCCGCTGTCTTTGATGGCGGCGACGACGACGACGAAGCGCCCTTCGTTGACGATCCCGTCCTTTGAGCCCGTGGAACTGTTTCGCTCCGGTGCACTCGGGGTCGATCGGGTTAACGCGCTTGATACGAAGTGGACGGCAAGTAGCGCGCGAATTTCATCGTTCCGAGGACGTTCGAGCGAACGGTACCGCGGGAAGGAAGAACGGGAGCTTAATTTTCATTTGTATCTACATTTAACCGACGGAATTTATGTACTTAAATCGATCGCGCAGGGTTTGGAAATGACGCGTTATTCGTAATCACTTGGTGTAACGCTGTTATCCTTCCCATTAATGACAGTAACGAGTTACCTTTGAAAAGTAATTTTTCCAACTCCGCGATCACGACTCCAACTTGGTGCTTCGTGTGTACTCATTTTATTATCGCGTCAAAATATTGTCGATGCATATCTTTCGCGCGGTGTGTTAACTTCATTGCCACGGAAGCGTGTCCTCGCATCGCCGCTCGAGGAGATCGTTATCGGTCTGGACGACTCTCCGTTTCCCACAGGCCGACGACGATGCACTATGTATGAGTGTGTAACGAGGTCTCCGTTCGTTTAACTCGGTGCTCGGAGTTGCTTGCACTTCCCAGGCGATTTTCGACGGTTTCTTCCCCTCGCCGCTTCTCGCCTCACCCGTCAAGCTCCACTGATAATCGTGCTCAGCTTCATGGGATCATCAACTTCCCGAGATCTGTGAGACTTTCCGCTATTTTTGAAAAAAGCTCTCGTTCAAACTAGTCTTCTATGCGTGTTATTCTTATACGCTACCAACATTATTTATATTATTATGATTGCAACGATGAAAGAACTCTTCAGCAATAAGGGAGCACCTTGCAAGTCATGTGAAATCGATAGTTCTGGCTAAGCGCCGCGACAGTTGGCCGCGAGGCTCTCGACGGGTGAGAGGGGCTGAGGAAAGAAAGCAGGCCTAGTCCTCGACAATCGCCTCGAAAGTGCAAGTAATTCCGTGTGCTGGTTCAATTAACTCATCCGGCACCTTCATCCCGCATTTTGCTCTTGCTACTGGCTCCGGCCTTGAATGAATTGAGCCCGTTGAAAATTCGTTCTCGCAAGACCTGAGGATCCGACGTGCACGCGCAACACTCGCGTGTCTCGATCCTCCCTGACAACAACCGCAACGACCGCCGAATCCGAATACCCGCCCGCCCGCAGCTCGCTTTCATACGACATTGCCGTTCTTTTGTTTCTTTGTTTTCTCTGACACACAGGGCGAATCGAACGAGTCGAGGATACAGGTGGCCAACGAGCGGGCCCATCAGCTACTCAAGTAAGGCCGCACTCTCTCGACCGCCCCCCGCACTCCGTCGGCCGCCACGAGCGTCACTACCATCACCCTCCACCACCACCACCACTTCCACCACCACCACCACTACCACCATCACCATAAAAGCAACAACAAAAATAGTACCAACAATACGACACAGCGGCGACAACGACAAAAACAACAACACCGACACCAACAACAACAAGCAGCACGATTACACTTGACAGCATATACTACATTCGCCGATTGTTTGTTCGCGATTCAGTCTGCTCGCGTTACCTTCGTTGAGCTCGTTCGTGCGTCTCCACCTTCGACATCGAGCAGGCTCGTCGGCCGATCCTAGGCTCGGTATCGTCGACGTTCCCGAAATACATACTCAACCCTAAACTTGACAGCGTGTACCCTGTTATGAAACGTCCACCTCACTGGTCGGGCTCGTCGCAATTCCTTTCCTCATTTGAGCGTTACGACAGGTGTTTTTCAAGCGAGGATTATGTAGATTGCACTGTGTACGCGCCTCACGAGCGATCCGCCTGGATTCTTTAAACGCCGATCAGATGTGTCGCATTCGGCTTTGTGTCTCTTCTAAATTATTGTCGTGATTGTTATAATCCGCTAAGAAAGAAAAGGGAAATAAACAATTTGACTCTGCTGCTGCATTGAAGGAGAGTTCTGTAATTTTGTTACCTTCGTTACGTTATCCGACGAAACGTGATCTCCCAAGCTTACTCCCCTCGTCAAGTTTAGGGTTCACGCGCTGAAGAAGCATCGCAAATACCATTCCTCGGATCCGGAGATTAAATTTGATTGTCGGTTCGCGGCTGGTTGTTTGTCATTCCATAATTTGTCCGACCAACGGGATTAATTTGATCGACTAAATGCGGACGTTCGAATCCGCCTTTCAGACTCGGCATCGAATTGAATTCGGATCATTTTCCTTTCGCTCTAATCCGTCAACGTCGTCAACGACTCCATTCCGTTATGACCGGAAATTAAATCTAATCTCCGAAATAGGCTCCTCTTATTTTTACGACGGCGATTAATCCCCGTCGATCGGGGATTCGAACCTTCGACATCGAAGTCTCGGAAGTCTCCTGGCCGAGTGTATATATTTCGATGTCGGTTGACCGGCGATTGAAGTTGGACCAAAATTTGGTCCCCGATCGGAAACCAGGAGTTTCGTTCACACCAATCACAACGAAGTGCCGATGGAATTTCTAGCCAAGCGGAGACTGTCGAAGTATCGTGTGTTAGTCGACTGGAGTCCAAGTCCAGTCGCTGGCTCGTTAAGAGCTAGCAGCTTCGTTTTCTCGACACGATTAGAGTTGTCCAACTGTGAAATTTAGGTAAAGGAGAGAAGGGAGAAAAAGAGGAAAAAAAAATATATATATATCTTGTTATACATATTTAGCCGCTGGAGATTATTGCACGGACAGTGCATCGATTGATAATTTAGTTCTCGGTTTAATCGACTCTGGAGATCGATGCGATATATTACTCGGTGAAATATGAGGAACAAGTTCATAGTACAAACATTGTCACACTTGTCTCTAATTCTTTAGCGAAATAATTATTCCGATTTTCTTTCGCGCAGGCTTCCTTTCTTGTCTCACACTGAATGTGAACACTGAAATATTATCATACACACAAACAACAAACACCAAAAAAATACACACATACACGTGTACACACATCAATTGGAAAGCAGAACCCGAGAACCATATCCAGGCACACAGCGACCGGCGACATTATCTACGAACGAAAAGCGACACTGATCCCTCCTTTCTGCGATCCCTCAACGTGAGCTCTCTCTCGCCCTTCTCCTGAGGTGCGGAGGGAGTCTCGTTATTCTTCCCCCGCAAAAGAAAATTGCACACATCCCCCGTATTCGATCATCGAGTATTTCGCGAATATCTACCACCTCGGGTGTATCCGCCGTGGTGTGAGAAGCACGCTGAGAAAGAAAAAGAAAGAGAGAGGGAAAGGTCGGCGACACCCTTGGAGGAGGAAGGAAGTGGAATCGCGCGCGAAGGACGAAGGAGCAGGACGAGGAGGAGGTGAAGAGGTGCGACAATGAAGAGGAAGTGGATAAAGAAGAAGAGGAGAAGGAGGAGGAAGACAAGAAATATACATATATCGAGATAACCGGAGCAACGAAGTGAACGCGTTCAGCCATGATTAAGAATTGCTGAAGCTGTAGATAGAGCGAGGTCTTCTTTTCGTCGTTTTAAAAGCTCGACTCACACAAACAAGCAGCGTAGAGCGTTAGATGTTATCCCTCTGCCCGTTATTCCCTTGCTTTGCCCCCTCCCCCAGCCCCCTTTTTGCGCCAATCGCGCCGAGATCACAGTAAGGTTTAACTCCAAAGAAAGATTGTACATTATTGTATTTACACGAGAACGACGTGCACACCTTGTTAAATCGTACGAAGAGAAACGGAAGAGGGAGAGATTCAGAGTGCCGATAGAGGAAGAGAGAGGAAGGAGGAGAAGAAGGAGGAGCAATCCTGTCGCGGATTCCAGAATCGATACCCGTAAGTACTCTCGACGCGAGTACCCACGGCGATCCTGAGGGAGATCGTGACGGTGTTCACGGTGTTCATGCTCTCTTATCGTAGAAAAAAAAGGAGTATCTCGAGCAACGGATATTCTTGTTATCGCTCGACAATTACGGAATAATAATACACAGAGAGTTCGCTTCTCTCTTCCTCCTCCCCCCTCTTGCCCCCTTGATGATTATCGTCACTGTAAAGTGAAGACAGAAGAAAAGTGAAGACGTCTTTACTGAATGACCGTTATTTTATCGTTTTTATCCTCGCGTACAGTCGTCGTCGTAACAGTCGCGACCTTATCTTCTTTAGCGCACTATTCTAGAGATTCAGAACGTGTCGTGATTTATTGTCACACGGTAACACGGATGTTAATGCGATTGTTAGTCAATGTATGGGCGTCTTTGACGACGCCTCTGTTCATTCTTTTTTTTTTCTTATGAAATTTTTAAGAAACTGATAAATAACCGAAGTGAATAGAAGCAACCAACGGGTGTCGGTTTTGAACGGCGCGCCCGGTGAGGATTGGAGGAGCACAAAATAAAACGCGTAGCCTTTCCGATTTCGCTTGTCCTTCGCTTTCTCTCAGAGAGGAAAGAAAGATGCCCTTTGGACGCCGGACGAACGTGCTCTAAGAGGAGTGAGCGAGAGCTGCGAGAATTTGAACGAGAGAGAGAGAGAGAGAGAGAGAAGGGAAAAATAAAACCCGAGTGTGCGTGAGAGGGAGAGATTGCGCGCGAAAATCATGTGCTACGACGCGAGATCATTAGGCCTATAGTGATCACTTCACGTCGAGAAATTTTAAATATTTATAAATAGATATGTGTACACAATACACTGAGTATTGTTCCGTTTCTGCAACATCGTTTTTCATATCGGCTCCGATTTTTACTCGGAAGTTGATTTTCCCGATGATGAGAATAACAAATCGTTAAATTACCACAAATAATCAAGTCCGAAACGACGTCGTGATCATGAGTCTGTTCTCTGTCGCTGAACAAGTGCACATTTTCGGAACTTAAAAAGAAACAGATATATAGATATATATATATGACTTCGTGTAAAGAAGAGAAATAGAAGTAGTGTAGCTAGTTCATCTATAAGGAACAGACCTCGTGTGCTGTTTATTCGATTAATTTCAACACTTTCTGTACAATATGAAAACACGATAAACGCTTTCTCGACGCTTTCGCTGGACAAGAGTCGATTTCAAATTGGCCGAGCGAATCTCTCGTTGGAAAATGATATGGCGGAAACGGAATGACTGGTACACATATTATTTATTTGCATATATATATATATATATACACATATATATATATATATATATATATATATATATATATATATATGCACATATATACATAGCCATGTAGGGAGCGAACGCGGTGAGTTCTTTCTTAAAATAGCTCCTGGTAGAGAGTCGAGAGTCGCAAAAAAGCTACTCTAATCGCGGGAGAATGGAGTATCTTTATTATATATAATATACATATTATACATATACATATAAATAAACGAGTAAATAGATTATATATATATATATATATAATACGGGATCGAGCAATATTGTACTTGTTACTTCGTCGTTACTGTTTATCACCGCCTATTGCGAGACTACGTACTTATTTTACGAATATTATCCTACTCCCTTGCCCTTTACCCCGCAGACTCTGTCCCCTTATCCAAACTTATTGAGTCATATCGAATCTACAGGTCTATGTAATACGTTTCAAACACCTACTAAAACACACAAAAATAATGTATAGACACGCAATTAGGTAGATAGACCGGTAGAGATGATTAAAGATTAACGGAGAAGGAGAAAGAGGAGAATGAGGTAAGAAAGAATGCGTATAAGTGTGCGTGGGAGAGAGCGAGAGAGAAAGAAAGGGATTGTGTGAACGAGAGAATAATATGGATATTGGTGAAAATAATGTGAGGGATGAAAAGTGGACGAAGGAGTGGAAGAAGTCTGGGTTGAGAAAGAGTCGTGTTCTTCATAAACGTACAGCGTGTCTTTGCGAAGCTGCCGGATATCCTCGGCAATCGACGATGAAGAACGATGAAAACGAAGTAGCGAGTCAGAGCGAGCAAGCGAGAGAACGTTGCGAGGAGTCGAGATTCCTTACAGTTTTCAAATTAATTAAGGAAACAGATGGGGATTTCTGTGAAGCTGGCGGTCACATTCGACAGATCCACAGACATCCTATATACAAACATGGAGCAGTTCCATTCCATCTTTTAAGTTACAAGTTATACCTCGACACGATTAACTGCATCGCAAAGTTAACGTTTATGCTAGCGGTCGGAAGAGTCTAAAGGAGTCTGCCTGCAGTGCGATATACGGTCTCGATTTGCAACTAGGAGCGTAACATTTTCACGCATTTACGGGAATCTACGGAATGGAACGGGGCGATTCGAATAAAAAATACGAATTCTTAATTGTACACGCTTACCGTCGGCGCATTGAAATTAATCAAAAAGAAAAAGAATATTGGCTTTCTTCTGGATTAAGTGTAACTTTTTCTCTTCACCACTTCCGACGACTCTGAGACCCTGAGCCAGGCTCGTGTGCCTTTCTCCGCCAACGTCCACTTTTGATTCTTGATCCTCTGTAGTAGAACTTATAAAGCGGCGATTGATTCCCCAATTGTCGACCGATTTGTCGGTCGTGCCATCGGGACTCGTTTCATCGATCGATTCTCTACCTCGGGAAAACGTGCGGCGGAGGTGTTCGGCGAGCCACCTCTTCGTGTAATTTACTGCGAAGTCGAGTGCGAGAACACAAATATACTTGGGACCACCGTGCAGACGTGCAAGGTGTCGTGGACCGCAATCTTCGAGGCACTCGAGGCAATCCCAAATAGAACGGCGAGAATAAAATTCTGACGAGGAGACGAGAGAACGGCGAGCATGGGAGAGCATTTGTAAATTGTAAAGTTTATCGATAAGCACAGGGGGAAAACAAACGGGACGAGACCAGCTTCTCTCTTTTTAGTACCGATGATATAATGTCGCTAGATGTACTTATGATACCGTCGTAAAAGTTTCTCCTCGACAGTACCATTATAACAAATGCCTGTGTATTTTACTTCTTGGCAAATAATAAACCATCAAGTATTGTACGCCGTTCGTTTCTTCCTCCACCCACTTGTTGCGGTCTCCGCCTAAGTTCGAGATAGCTGAGAATTACTGGGAATCGTATGAGCAGGAACGTGTAGAATGCGTAGATTAAGAATTTATTTTACAATAAACGTAAATGTGAAAATGAGGTACAGTGTACAAAACACATAGAGCCGCTGAAAATTATAAACGTTCTTAAATATAATAACCAACGCACGCAAAGAGTATGCGCGCGTGTACTGACGCGTATATAATCTGAACATAGAAGTTACAAACATAAACTCACATTCTTATTTTTATATATATTAAAAAAAAACTATCAAATTTTTTAGTCTTCCAGTTTTTCGATGTGGGCCAACTTACAGATTTTGTTCAATAGGTGCGTCATGTAGGTATTGTAATTCACCGGAGAGATTGAGACACAGGTATGCCTCATCCTCATTTCATCCTGAAATGACAGAAAATGATTTAAAAATTTGTTCTCCAATACGAATATATTTAGCCTAGAATACAATAAATTCGTTGAGACACGAAAGATTCGCTACGAATAGAACTTATATGTTGTGTACAGAAAGTTTCTGTCAAAATGATAAAATGGTATTTCATAATCAATTACCTGGAAAACCTCTGATTTCACTCTCAAGGCGAATGTGAACCTCTTGAAACTCGCATCGCCGAATTTCTGCATGTAGGCGTCGTTATCATTCTCCTTCAACTCGCCCAACTCCTGCGCCGACATGCCCAGAATCTTTTCAGCCTCTTCGTTAAAGGCAGTTATCCAACGGCTGCCTGTGGCATCCGCTATATTCATCTGGGAAAATCGTTACGGCACGACGAGTAAAGCATGTTCTGGTAATTCTAAATGATATCCAATAAGAAAAATAAGAAAAATACGAGAGAAGTTGATACGTACACTCGCTAACAGACGGTACACAAAGTTTGGATAGTCCTTATTACATTTCTCGCACCTGAATATCCCAGTGGATTGATCGACGAGCTGAAATAGCATCGAACGAACTAAAGTCAGGATGCGTCCTTGAAGTCTGAAACATCATCCGCTTCGCGGAATTTATTTGTCTTGCGTACAACTCACCTTCTTCTTGCAGCTTTCTACAGGGCACGCTTTGTAAATGGAATTCTCCACGCGGATTATATTAATGGTAGCCACCACCGAGAACACATCCGCAGCGTTCATTCTCTCACCCAGCTTCGCGTCGGTTACCTCCTGGAAGGTGTATAATGGTGCGTTGACGTCACCACCGCCGCCGCCCGCTCTAGACAGCGATTTGGCGTTTTCCAAGTTGCCGCCTTTGGCATACCATCCGCGCAACCTGAAATATATATTGCGCGTGTAACAAAGTATCGTGCAAGTCTGTGTTACTAGATCGCTATCCAAAAGTTGGTGAAGTTACTTTTTACTAAGCGACGCACGAGACACTCTGTATGAACGGAGAATATTGAAATTTGTCAGCAAGTTCGATTATACCTGTGTGCTTCCTGAAGATCCGGATTCTTTTGGATTATACCAGAAATTCCGATGGACAAGTTCTTCCCACCGTTGAATTCGCCGATGCGTGCTCCCTTAATGGCTACGATCGGGTTATCCGAACCATCAAATTCCTCGGCTTGCTTCCCCCAGAGTGTGACGCATACCTAATGAATAAAGAAACAGTTAATTTAATTGTAACAATGAGTGTAGTTTGTGTATAAGATTTTTGGGAAATTGCACACCATCACACCGCTATCGTCGACTATATTAATGTCTCTTTTCATGTGTTCTTTGCCGGTATTTCGTGATGAGACAGTTTGCAACTCGCTGCACGTTGTAACAACACCCAGGACGTCTGTCAATCAATACATATAAAACGTTATTTTACGTCATTAATTCATTAATCAATGCTATTATCATCCCAAACTTTAAAATATTAAGTCACAAAAATTGAAAAAAAAGATGAATATTAATTCTCTTCCTGTCGAAATACTAAATAACAGTTTCCAGCGAATGCAATAGTACCGATTGTTTCATCCTTCTTCATGGTCTCCAGCTGACTTATAGGAGAAAAATTGAACTGGAGCGTCGGTATATCCTCGTTGTTATCGTGACATAACACGACTTCCGTATCGCTGGTCATGCTCATTTCGAAATCGTTTTTCATAGTGTTATACTGCTTGTTCGCTGGCTTCAATGAGCAACGCGAAATATAATAAACGTTCCCAGCCTACACGAATAAACAAAACATTTAATCGTCTTCAATCTTCTATAGAAAAAAGTATTACTTATTTGTTATACTTTTCTCTATACATCATTCAGTATGTAACATCCACTGGTTTTAATAAGCCAAAATAGCGCAATAAACGTACCTCTATCATATCATAGAATTTGTCACACTCTTTATTGAATGCGGTACATCTAATTTCGCCGCTCTCATCGACCAGTTCTATAGTAAACAACTTGCCGTCACCGCGGGAATTGCTCCATGTTCTAATCTGAGATTTAGTTAGTACACGAACCTTGATTACCCATCTAAATAAAATTCATAATCGTTATGTCCAAAAAAACTCGTTATTCTTGAGAAACGTAATTTTACTTGATAAATATTAAATTTATGAATGGTCATTGAAAATATAGCACTGATGGCTAATATATATTTAAGTACATATTAAAAAAAAAAGCAATGAGTTGCCATGAGTAATATTAATGTGCTTATATCTATAAATCTATTTTACGCAGAATTCTTACTTGTTCTGATAAGGACTTAGTGCTGCGATTGGAGTAGTAGATATTTCAGAAGAAGAATGATGACTTGAAGCATTCTTTTGCATAGTACCATCTATTAAGGGTAAAAATAAACTTTGTATTCAAAACATTATAAAATATCATATAATAAATAAAATTATATATATATAATGATTTTAAATGCAATTAACATAAATACTTACTACTATTATGGTGATATGCAGCTGTGGATGGATTAAGATTAGGTTTAGCAGTTTCAGTCTCTGCTTTACTCATGTTACTTGGGTTTCCAATCTTGTGTCCCACTTTGTCACCAGAAGCTATTACTTGGACCTCCAGAATTATAATCACACGTCTAATAAAATAAAATATAATCTTTAAATTAAAACCATGCTTAAATATTTTAACAATTAAAATAAAAAAACAAATACTTTTCTTTTCCACCGTTGTTCACTGAACTCAAAGCATACTTTGATAACTCGCAGACTGTAAATTCGGTTAAAATATTGTTTGTGATTAGGTTATTTAACTGAGTAGCCAACATGGTAAATGAGTTTGTTCTCAGCCCATCAGATACAAGCAACCTATATCGGTCAGAACTAGAACTGGTCAGTTTTTTGTGACCCTGCAACATAAAGATAAAAATTTACAAATTGTAGACGAACTTCAGACATCGAGCTTCGTAGTGTTTTCAAGCCAAAAGCTGAGAATTAAATTCCGTCAAACTGTCAATGTCATAATACTTACCAGTACTTGAACCACTGGCTTCTCGATATCTATGCCATCCATAATTTTCTAAAATAAAAATCAATATGTTGAGAAATATGCATATATAATTACTTCGATATACACTGCCTGTCAAAAGTTTCCAGACAGCATTATCTCACATTCAAAGCTTAGAATGCACAGTTAACTACATATCCTCCAAATATTTTCTAGAATATCCTAAATCTAGTATGTTATTATTTTTTATTGATAAATACTGTGTTCTTTCATTTCGAGCAAAAACGTGTCGAATAAGCATAATTACAACAATATTGGAAGTGAAACCTATACTAAATAATTACCCATTAAACGGTTATTTGGTACAAAATTTTATGAAAAGTCAAATTTAGATCACGTCGCAATAGCAACTATTCTTGCTTTCCAGGATGAGACAAAAGTCCAGTTACATCATCCATTATCCTGTTTTTTATCGAATGAGAAATAATGCCAAATGGTGATACAATTAGACTCAGGTCGAATTGTGTCTCTTGTCGGAAAGCAAGTAACCTATGTCAAATGTATAATATTAATGTCTTGTATCTATAAATCTATAATCCTTCATGATGGAGGATAAGTGCATTGCGCAGCACAGAAATTAGAATACAGCCCGACCAACGTTAAACAATGCCGCAGATGTCAGAAAACTTTTGCCGGGCAATGTAACTTCGATATATTTACATCCAAAGCTCCTTCCGTTAACTTATACATGATTTCGGATTATTATTGACACAAGAAACAATACTTCGTCACAATTCTTCCCGCCGAATGATTAACACGATCGTGCGTGTTCCGCAAACAATTGTCTCGTGGATATTTTTCCTCTCTCTTTCTCTCATTAATAATTCCAGCATCCTTTGCGAACCAATCTTTAATACTAGGTCTGTTCGTTTTCGCTGCACCGCTGAACTAGTGCAATAAATTGAAGCGAGACAAATAGATACTTTCTTACTTAAACTTATTGCACTAGTTCAACAGTGCAGCGAAAACGAACAGACCTACTATTTTCGGCTAAAAATTGTGATTGTGCGCATATAGAGTTGGACGACATAGTATCGATACATTGTGAAATAGAGTTTTCCCCCAGAAAAATAGGAATTTCCTCCATAGATGGTGAAAGAAAACCCTATCTTTCTGGAAGGAAAACCCCATTTCATTATCGATACCATATCGTCCAACTGTAGACTCTAGCCTATGAATATCGGGCTGAACAATGCATTCGGTCTTTCCGCCAACATAAACCGGAAGAAGAGCGCGAACGAGAGGGCGCTTCGGTGCGATCCACCATTACCATCATCTCGATTCTCCAGTTGCTCGTTCCATTGCATCGGCTTGCTCGACTTGAGATTCATCGCATTCCTCATCGTCTGATTCTCTTCGTGCAACATGAACGGCATCATCAGGAAGGCGCTCTGCGCCCCGACTCTCCGTGTGTTATCGTCCTCGTCGTCCAGCAGTGCCGGAACGGCACGCACTCAAACCACCCGAGCATTGTGGAACATGTGCACGGGCCGGCAAGGCTCCGATGCCGCACCTCTCACCTCCTTAAAGCTGCATGACAATTTCTATTCCCGAAAATGCTACAGTAAATCACATACCAAAGGTGACAATTTATCTGTACCTCTACGCGGATGTTCGCGAGATAGATGTTGATTATCGTTTATAAATTGGCATGATTTCATCATGCCAATAATTGGCAGTTATTTCGCTTACCTGACTCTTCCTTCATTTATCGTGTCGAAAAAAAGACTTTTAGCATATCACTTGAAATATGCGAACTTGAGCAAAGTATAAACATTTAATAGAGGCATCTAAATTGTAATTCAATCTTTGTATCTTGTTAGGTATATCTCGAATCATATTTTTTCATTGACCAGTTATATCTTATATTTTTAGCGGAAAAAGAATTGGTAGAGTTTCTGGCCGAGGAAATAGTGGCAGAGAAGAAAGCACAGAAATTGAAGACAATACCTACAAAATTAGATGATTTCACAGTGTCTCTTGATGGTGCCCAGGTTACTCTCGAGAAAAAAGATGGTTCTGATACGTAAGACGAGTTTTAGGCTTCTTCATATTTGATTTCTGCCTTAAGTTCGAGATATCGATTTGTAGCACCTGATCTTTCAGAATTCATATTTCCTTCACCTATCTTTCAGAATTCATATTTCCTTCAATGTGAACCACACAGTGGATGCAGATACTGATGCAGAAGTAGATCCTAATCAGGATGATGTGGAAATTGGTGAAATGAAGAGCAAACCTTCTTTTACCATAGATATAATAAGGGGCAACCAAACTTTGGGCTTCACATGTTCTTTTAACAGTCAACCTGGTGCATCTGGTAGTGATGATAATTACAGTATGTAGCATTTACATTATGGCTGAAGCCATAACGATTTACCTTATTTCAAGGCTTTGAGCACGAACAACATTTACATTCAGTGTCAATTCTTTAATTCTTGATTCTCTCGTTCCAACTATATACTTATCCACAGATGATATCTTCGGCATTGATGAAATCACACTGTACGAGGGTGATCACACTGAAAAATCATATTCGGTGTCCGGTGAGATTGTCGATGGTGTAAGTAATTCATTATTAATTGATTTCCCAAAGTGTTGAGTACAAAGTACTGATATATGGCTACTTTGATTATTGATCTTTGGGAGAATATAGACATTCTTATCAAATTAGATCATGGCTATCTGTCATGATTGATTGAAATAGGAATGCGACACAATAATACATTCAAACTTTTCAATAAAACTTAAATTGTCTCATTAGAGATTTTGTTTTTATTTTTCTATGATTATTTGTAATACCAGGCACTATTTTGCTTGTTTGATTTATCATTTCACTCTAATTGATCTATTTTTTTTTAATGCGCACTATACATTTCAAAGCTCTATAAAATCTCATTGTATACGTGAAGAACTGCAGAACTTACAAATTAAGTTTTATTTTGTACTTGACAGTATCTGTACGACCTATTGATGAACTACCTCGAGGAAAAGGGCATTTCAAACGAATTCGCGGAAAAACTCGTTCATTTGAGCACAAATTACGAGCATACGGCGTACGTTAGCTTGCTGGAAGGTTTGTCCAAGTTTACGTCTGGACAGTAGTTCTAAGAGCTAATCTAAGACTTCTTGTAACTTACAATTCTATAGTTGTATGTTTAAGGAAAAATTGTTAAATATAATGTATGTTTAACAATCCACTTCTGAGTTATTTAACACATAAATACGCAAGAACCTGATTTATATACGGTCGTGGCGGGCAATGTACGATTGTATTCCTGAAGAATAAAAATATCTATAGTGTTGAAAATTACGATCTCGATTTATCGTCAAAGATAGTGGCGGCTCCTAGTGGAGACTTTGGAATATATCATCTATTAAATTGAGATGAATCATTCATCAGAGTTTAGAAGTACGAATTTTTGTCCATTTATAAAAAAAGAGTTAAGGTGAGATCAAACCGTTTTACACATGAATCGTAATTTTTGTACAAGAATTGCTTCAATAGGTAACATGATATCAAGGCTACGTTCTAATTTTCGCTATCAGTACTGAAAATCTATAGTATACGCAATATGAATTGTAGATTTTCAGGCAGTAAATATCGGGGAAGCAGCTTATAAGTATACACGTCAATAACCGTATGATAATCGTTTGTCTTTCTCTGCAAGTTTCATATGTTTTTCGCGATATTTCATTTAATAACGAATATTCTCAATTCCGAAAGAGGAATGCCTTACAATCTTGTAAACATTGTTGGAATATCTTATCGGTCCTGTGAGTCATAACCGATATTATATGCAGCGGGGCGGAAAGATGGACCAAGATGGACGCAATTAGGTGAAGGAAAGCTCGCGGAGGCGGCGACGGTGAGTGATGATGGCGTAGAGCAGCATCCCGAATGCTCGGTCCCCGCCGTCGTCGTCGTCGTCGCGTACCTGTTGGTGAGAATGTCGTGCCGCGATCCCAACAATTTGATGGTGAGCGCGAACGACGAGAACTTCGATTACCTGTTCAAGATCGTGCTGATCGGCGACTGCGGCACAGGCAAGACCTGCTTGGTGCAACGCTTCAAGTCGGGCTCGTTCGTCGAACGCCATGGGAACACCATCGGCGTCGACTTCTCCATGAAGACTGTACTCATAGACGGCAAGAGGGTCAAGGTGTGACACGCGCTTGACTTGGTCAACTAGGTGTCCTAACCTTATTGAAAACTGTCTGAACAGCATAAATGTCTAAGAGGCAAATAGGATATTTGCTTTTAGACATTTGTACTATCTGAACAATTACTGGTTTAACTTGAAATTTACAATTGTCATTGGATGACGTTGGATGTTTCTGTAAATCAATATCCCAAGTACTTGAATAGTGCATTCTTTTCTGCAGAGTCACTCAGCGAATTGAGGACTCTTGTATATATTAGTCGCTCAAACATTCCATTTGAAATTCTGACATTTATTATACAATTGTACTTTCTGTTACGTACAGTTACAAATATGGGATACTGCAGGGCAGGAAAGGTTCCGTACAATAACTCAGAGTTACTATAGATCTGCAAACGGAGTAATTATAGGTATGTACATGGGTCATCATTTTTTTCACATCAGCCAGAAGATTATTTATACCATTAATTTGAAGAATATATCATTCTGAGTCATTTTCTGCTGAAAATGACATGTAAATATGTTTCAGTTTACGATATTACGAAGCGATCGACATTTTTGAGCCTGCAACGTTGGGTGGAGGAAGTCCGGAGATACACTTCATCGCATGTGTTATTAATCTTAGTTGGTACGATTGTTCTGTATATCTTTGTAATAATCATCGTGCCGTAATACCGTATTGCTAATCCCTACGTGCTGCTTTCGTCCCCACCAGGGAATAAATGCGACCTGGAAGATCTGCGAGAAGTGAAAAGAGAAGAGGCTGAAGCCTTGTGCGAGTATCTGCCCGAAGTTTTACACATAGTGGAGACCTCAGCCAAAGATAACACGAATATAGACACCATCTTTTTTTATCTGGCATCTGAACTCAAGGTAAATCATCTCCTCGATCGTCTCGCACGATCTTTACGTAATTTTGTTAAAAGCTCTCTGCGCTTTTAGAGACGACACGAAAATCGCCAAATTAGCGCAAGCGAGAACGATGTGGTGAAACTTGGCGTAGGACGAAATTTATCTTCTTGTTCAGGATGTTAATCTTCAGGATGCTTCGAACCATTAAATAATTTCCCCCATCTCCCGCGAGTCTGTCTGAATGACAGAAATATTTGCGAACGAGTAAATTTTCTACAGATATGATAAAAAGCACGTCGGGTGAGCAGATATATTTTACTTCTCTATTCACTGCCTCTTACGTTGCCACAGTGATAAAAATTAATCTGGAAATGAAACAGTCAACTTCAGCTAATTTATAAATATTGATGAACGTATATATTATACGTGAGGTTACAAATCATTCTGCTGTCCGCGCAAAGTACGTAAAAACGTAAATGATTATGCTAGTGTCGAGAAATATGAATGTTACGTAAGGATATTATTTAAAAAATAGAGTAACTTACTTTCACACCTCGAGGTTGCTTGTACTGGAAAGACACGTTCGTGTATTTTTATATGCGATTTAGCGAGTACATACAAATTTATACACACATACACGCCCGCACACATACACACGTATGCACACAATAATACTCTACAAATACTACAGCGACCTGAACAAATCTTAGATGTCCAGTGCCTTAAAGTTTTTGGTAAACTTCACACTTTCTCATATGATAAAACGTACAGAGAGACGCTCACGGAGTGCGAGAGGATTATAAAGGATTTAAGTAGTGCGTGGTAACTTAATTTTTTAATTTATTCTATTTATTTGCACATATATACACAGGATGATTCATTTTGATTTTATCGAGAAATTTCCGAATATTACATTTTTGGAAACGACGCTGAGATTGAAAGTTGTTCGAAGGGAGACAAAATAATATTACTTACTCTCGCAATGTTTTTTTCCAAGGTCAGCTTTAATTTCTCTCTAATGGAGTCACCAAATTTTCTTGATATGAATCGATTTTATTTTCTACGTAAATATCTCTTTCTATATATAAAAATACCGAAGTAAGAGATCATCAAAAAAGTGAATATTTCCCAAAATATCTCACCTTTTATTCTGATACTTTCGTGACATAATATATTAAATGGAAAATTTTCTTTTATTCTCAGCATTTCTTTCGAAAAGTATATTTCTCCAAAACTTGTTAAGATTAAAATGAATCATTCGGCATATATATAGATGTATACATAAAAAGTTCAAAACTATTGTACAATATTTTAATAAGCATATTTTAGAACTATACTTGAAAATTCTAATTTCGAGAAGCCCAGAATGCACTGTTAAAGTATTGCATGATAGTTTTGTGAGCACTCGTTCAAATTACAAGATTGTAAATACTGATTTTTAGTCGCATTCTCGACACGCGCTTCGCGCCAAAAAAGCTGCCCGATATTCAGTCTTTTGTTTCATTTGAATACGATTTCGGAACAAATTGCTGCATTTTGAGGCGCTGAAGGCGCGACGAGAATGTGCATTCCGCGTGAACAGGCGCGATTGTTATTTATGAACAAACAATATAACGAATCTCTCTATTATCGTTTATACAAATCATTGTACTATATTTTTTTAACAATTTTTATTGCACAAAAATATATTATCCTCGGGAAGTTTGTTATTGCGTTCGCGTTCTTTCGGACAAAGTACCCACGATATGTGATGCAGCGCTAATAAATCTCGCGTGAACTCGATTTAGATATCTGCATTGCGTAACCTGTAAATCTCAGATCTCGGAGGAATGCCGAAGTGGAGGGTACGTTTTTAGATGCCAATAGTACGTACACTCCCCGATCTCTTCCGTTACATCGTTAGTTATACGTCAATTATATGTACGAATATATATTTCGAATCGTTATGCTTGTGCAAAAAGCAATCTATTTTGAAATATAAATTTACCATGTCTCCACATCGCAATTACCGAATAAGCCGATAAGACGCATGAGGTTCACAACGGTGTAAAGAATCGTCACTCTATACTGCAATTCAAAATATTTATTACGTATTTATACTATATAAATGTGTAGATAGTTGAAAAATATGTTTTTTTTGTTTTCTTCTAAGAGATACGTCTCGTGTGCATTACGATAGTTTTGTTAATGTATATTATTTAACGTATTGAGCCCGGTACGTACATAGTATAAAAATCATTTGTGTATCGTACTCTGTACATGTGTTGATATTCTCTAAATTGTAATAAATAAATCATTTTTTACTCGTTACAATCTTCCAGAATTCACTGTCGATTGATCCATTAACATCCATTAACATTCAACTAATCTTCGTGCTTCATTTGATATAAACGACGGATTTATATCAATCCAAAATAATACAATCACGGCAAACACTAAAAAGGCATTTATCACAGTGAGCCAAGACTAATCGTCGATTTCTATTTGTGAGCAGAGTCAACTTATTCGTTGTTATTGTAATTATAATTTTTGGATTGCGCAACCTGTCCTGAGATTATCCTCGATAATGCTCAGGATGTCTTGGGGCATACTCTCAGTGACACTCTGAACACGTTCGTGGCACGATTCTAGGACGACTTGTGCTATCTGGCCCATTATTTGTACAGACTTATCTACAATTCAATTTCTTTGCTGCATAATAAACCGTTTTTTTCAACTAATACGAAATTGTACGATAATAATTTAACATATCCTTAGCATCGAATCATTTATTTCAATGTAAATAAACAACATGCTATATATATAAATCTGTATAGTGTATATGTGTGCATGTATTTGCATAAATAACGATATAGTAAATAACGGTACTCGATATATCATTGAAAGTGTTCGCTATGTAAAGTATTAGTTGATAACACTTATTTGGCTTTACGTTAATCGTAGCATTTCCTCGCGCACTATAAAAGACAATAAAGAAAAGGAGACGAAGAAGAGACGAAGCGCGTTATTTATAACGTGAATTCATCGTGACAGATATCCGAGGAAGAACGACCGTTGTCCCTGTTGCACGATCGGAAATTAAATTCGGATAAATTGATGTGTATCGATCGAAAAGTGGAATACATGCATTTCCAATCCTCCTTATAAGTCGTTTACATATTAGTCATAAATCCGCGTATATTTTTTCTTCGCATTCAGAAAGAAATGCAAATGACGGAAATAATGAGAATATAAAATATTCTGAATTAATTCTTCTAATTATTCCCCTGCCCATGTTTTATACATGAGAACAGTCTCTATATCCTTAAGGCACTTTTTAACTCTGTCTTCATGTTAAAGCTCCTGGTCCCTCGTTACGATGTAATTACTACATCAAGATGTGATGGGCGATAAACGTGAGGTAACATTTTATTTTCGCACTGTCGACATTCAGATAAGGTTTTCTTCACATCTATGACGTTATAATTCGATATCATTGCGATAACATTACTAGGAGCCTCGGAATGTGCTCTTTCTTTCTTTAACGCAATATATGATAAATTAGATTTGTCACGATGCGAATATCGTTATTAGATATATAACAGGCACGTATTAACAAACTACAACAATTAATCGGATAAGCTTCGGCGGATTACAGATATATTCAAAAATCTCTGTAATTGACGATGTAAGGAACGGTATGTGTATGTGTGTGTAATTTTTCATTAAAAGTTACATGCTATAAAAATCAGCGAAGAAACTAATTATGTGCGCAGAGTTTCTATTTTCGGCTCTTTTAAAATATTTTCTATTAAAATCACGTATGAGGGAGAGATAGTAGCAAATTTTTTTCACCAAGTCTGATACTTGCCATATGATGACGATAACACGAATGACATTAAAAATAAAACAATAATAACAAAGCCTTTCAGAATCGAAACGATGAAAAAGAAGGCAAACAAGAGCCAAACGCCGTTAATGCTTAACATTTAGAAGTCAAACGCTGTTAATGCTTAGTATTTGGAAGTGAATTTATTTATTTCACTATCAAATTATTGACTTGTAAATATTAAGCATTGACAACAGCGTTTTATCTTCTCTTTTCTGTATTCATATTAATAACATTTTTTGAGAAATTAACATAATTTACATTTGCCGTAGTTACATCCGGAAAGCAGACATTAAGAAGCGGACAAGTTCGGCCCCACTTGGTCCGAATCTGCAATAGGTGCGACAGGCCTTTTGCTCTAAGCGATAAAAATCTAACCTAATTTCTGACAAAAGTTGCATATAATAAAACTTAGATCTTAGGAATTGCGACTGGAGACACATTTTGCTAGAAAGTACAATTTAGTGCACGGAACAAAGGGCTCGCTACGCTACTTACGGACTGAACTGCGTGAAGAAAACAACACAATTGATACGTGATTGTACCGGGAAGACGTTGAGTCGGAGGAAATGAAAACAGTAAAAACTAACTCTTTAATCTTTCTTCCCCGCCCTTAACAATACCGATATCACCATATCGCGTGAAAAAGAAGGAAGCGTTTAAGAATCTAAGAAACTTGCTTGGTCTAACACGACTGGATCTCATACTACTCTCGCGTAAGTCCTTCTGTACATCTCGTCGACTTGCGTGAGGTAATACGTGCCCGGGAACATGTTGGCGGTGCTGCTCTCGGGCGTGAATGGCACGACGTGATAATTCTGCTCCCTCAAGGCCAAGGTCTTGGTGTAGTCCGCCGGTGAGACGCGTTGCCGCGCCTCCAGCTGCGACTTGACGTAAGAGAGAGCGGTGACGATCTTCGCCAGATCGGAGTCTCGCCGCGCGTCCTTGCTCACGGTCAACGAGTACATGCTGGAGCACAGACCGGAGCCGTACGAGAACACGGCTATCTTGTTGCCGGCCAATTCGTCGATCGGCTTGGATATCAGCAAGGACACCAGACCGGAGTAGACCGACGGTGTGTACATATTGCCAACCTGGTTGGCGATCAGCAGGCTCGGCTGGGTCTTGCGCTCGAAGTCGCGCTTGCTCACTCCCATGAACACCTTCTCGACCTCTCGGTCGAAGTACGTGTCCTCGAGTTTTCGAGCGTACAACTTTGCGACGTCGTCCGGTAATTGGTCCCCCGGTCCCTCGAGGAAATCGTTGAAGACCAGCCTGGCGAAGGACTTCTGCACGAGCTTGCAATAAGGCGAGTGGAAGAGAATCGCGTCGAAGTAGTTGAGGGTCACGTTCTCGCCGCTTCGCGCGGCTACCTTCTCGCGATACTTCCGATAACAATTGTCCAATGCGCTGAGGTAGCACTGGATCGACAGCTTGCCGTCCACCACCGGGTACGCGGAACGCGGATTCGGCTTGTAAAAGTCATATGCGTGTCGCATGTAGGACGCCCTGAGACCGTGGTCGAACACCAAGGGCGCGTCGGCGCCCACCAGGATCGCGATGGCGCCGGCGCCACCGGTCGGCCGCGCGCTGCCCTCCGAGTAGACCGCGCTGTCGGCCGTGACCACCAGGGCCCACCTGCCGTCCCACGAGCTGCTCTCCACCCAGGCGACGGCGTTGAAGAGCGCGGCGGTGCCGCCGTAGCACGCGTTCGTCGTGTCGGCGCCCTCGATGTCGGTGCAGCCGTGCGGCTCGAACAGCTGCATCAGCACGGACTTGACGGACTTGCTCTTGTCGAGGGCCGTCTCGGTGCCGACCTCCAGATGGCCGATCTGCTCCGGTCGCACGTTGTAACGCTCCAACAGCCGGTGCGTCACCGTCAGACAGAGCGAGTTGGTGTCCTCGCGGTCGTTGCAGAAGCCCATCCGCGATTGGCCCAGTCCGATGGTGTATTTGCCGGCCTTCACGCCGTCGTGCACCTCCAGTTCACTCTGATCCACGTACTGCGCCGGAAAGTATACTTCCAGCGCCAGGATGCCGACGTCCTTTGGCCACATCTCGCTCAGCTTGTTAAGGCGAACACTGTTCGAGATATCTCTTACGGTTTACGCAATCACTCTGCTGCTGCCGTGTCGAACCTACCAGTTAATTTCAATTTAACAGGTCATGTTGCGCATGTGATGTACGCAGGTAGACGTACTTGAGAGTGTACGGTGTTAAATGTATGACACATAGCTCCAACTTGACATTGAGTCGGCCAATCGGGAACGTGGACTTACAACGTTGGAAATAACGTGACTAATCGATTCACTTACCGCTTCGAAGTCCCGCTGCTTACGGTTTATTCAGAAGAAGCGCGGTCGTGCCGGCAACTCCGCCGATGATCGAAGGTATGCGCGCGCCTCTCGTCTACGTCAAATTCAGGTTAGAAGTGAAACTCAGTGGCAGAAGTGAAAATTCCGGTCGTGCGACTTTCGATCGCGTGCTTTCAAGCTTCTCCTACCGCTGGCTGACTCCGTTCGTTCACTCGTATACTTCCTGTGAATACCGTCGAATCACGAAGCGCCGACGAGCTCTGGCGAGCGAATGCGTCCACGGCAGCGCGGCGTTGTAGTCGTCGCGGGGATGGTTGAGGGGTGCGGAACGCGCAGATAACCAATCGCGACGAGATAAGTAACGATATGGAAAGTGGGATACCTATGAAGCAAGTATGAAGATAATATTAGTAATCGATTATGCGCACGTGTAAGACGCTTATTTTTCAATTTCAAGTAAGCTAAGCGACGAGTACCTTCATCGCCAACAACGATCTCCAATTTGTCGTTCAGCAATCGAACATCGAAAAGTTGACGTTTCTCACCGATGACGCTTTATTGATGGCGATTTTTCGAACGTCGGTCAGAGATCGATCAGAGTTCGGTGAAAGTGATCGTAAGTATGACAAACTTTCGGTCACCGACTGTACGCTTCCGGGAGGTCCTGAGGATCATCGCCCGGCCGAGTAATTTTTGCGAATGTCAAGCGCTGAATTGGCGCGAATTTGAATACGACCGTGTGTCTTTTTTGTCAGCGAATAATATATACGATTGCTGCGTCGCACTTAATAACAGGGTCATGAATAAACAGATACACGACGAGGACACAACGTGTTATGATTCGTTCGTTCGCTGTTTGAATAGCCAACGGACCGTTAGGAGACTGAATAATGGGGCATTGGGTCACGATGAGTCTTAATGTATAATACATTTTGCTCAACCTTACAGAGAAAATACATTGTGGATAAGCGTGAACGTTAGAATGTAAAATCCATCGGGAAATGGTAGCAAAATTTTTAAATGTGGAGGCTCCGATAAAACATAAAGATAGAATATAAGACCATGAGAAGCTGAATTTGCTCAGTTATATTTGCTTCAGCGGATTATAAATATGTATTTGCAGAACCAGTTTATATTTCTCCTACGCTTATTTTTCCATTCTTGACCCGCATGTGTCTTTTATGTAATACGTACGTAACTAATTTTTACAGTGATATTCCGAACATATTTCTCGGTTTGAAAAAAATTTATTAATACGATACATGTTAGTTCTACTTTGCGATCTGTATCGGTGAGATTTCATTTAGCGACGTTATAACGATCGTTTATTTACGACGAACTTTTAGCGAAAAGATTACAAATTATAAACCAAATTCAACGCGCCTTTTCGCGTCCCACTTCAGCCGTATATATTATTTACGTTTCGATTCGTTGGCCGAACGTTAACCCTTTGCGGTCCGCAGATTTCGCTGATGGGAGTACCAGCAGGTCCGAGCAAATTTAGCGTTTCGCAAGTTACTTTTCCGTAGGGGATTTAAAGTCAATATGTGGATGTTAAAACATACAGAAGATATTAAAACACACGATCATGAATGACATCATGCCGCCAGGTTGGCGGCACGGACTTCTACAACTTGCGAATGCCGCCATTATGGCGGCATGGATCGCAAAAAGTTAATTATACTGCAATTCTAGATAAAATAGTAAAAACTTTCGTAACTAATACAATTCTAAGCGAACATATGAATAAATCATAATATCGTAGGTTACGAAACAACCGTAAGAACATTAATCGCAGTTTTACGTAAATCGCAATTCTCTACCGGTATCTGCAACGCTTATTGTTGCATATTCATAGATACTTTATTCATAGATACTTTATGTCAGAACTTTATATCACGATATTGCGTTACGACTGTTCATATACAACTGAAATTCCACCCATACGATGTCAAAAATATACATCCTGTTTATGAAACTTCTTTTTTTGGTAATTTTTTCATTTTTCACCATGACCGAGAGACGACTAAAACCTTCTGAATCTATTACCTCAGAAGGACGATCTCTATAATATATGTCAAGATCATAGGAGGCGGGTCTCGTTTTGTAAAGGTTTACCCATATACTTAATCTTTAAGATAATCAAAATACTGAACCTGTAAATAAAATCGATGATCTTTTCTTTACGCTCAGTCACGCGTAATTCTCAAATGACAGGTTATATGTATTTGAAGTCAGTTATTCATCGTAATCATGAACATATAACGATGAGTGGTACAGATGCTAGCACAGAATTACAATTCACGTAAAACTGCATAAAAGTCGATTTATTCATAAATTTGCCTAAAATTGCTGAAACGAACGTTTCAATCATGCGAGAAGCGCGCACAAATGCGATAAAGAACAGATCGAACTGTACAGTGCCGACTGTTAATGTAACAAAGTCGACAATTATAGATGGTTCAAAATACTCGCTCGGTGCATCAGACTTTTAAATTAACAGATCTCTATCGGACTGTTCGTTTCATCCAGCATCATTGTTCGAATCCGACGCGCCGGTTGCCACGCGGCGACCATCATTGTTGTCAACGAGAGAAAAACGAAAACGAGATGAACGAGAGTGAAAGAGACAAAAAGAAAAAAAAAGGAAAATGACGGAATCTAACGTTTCAACAAGAAACCAACATTGTTGTATCGAGGATGTCGTCAAGGATTTTTGCAGAAACAAAAAAAGAGCAACGTTTCTCCATGAATACTTTTTACAGATGCCGAAAATGAAGTGAAAGGGAACGACAGCGGAATTTGCCGCAATTAGCGACGATAACGCGTATAGTGGCAGAGAACTCGTCATGTTGAAAAAAGAAAGATTAAAACGATTATCGCATATTTGCGAAAACAAATTACCACAGCGAACGTACGATAGCGTGAATTGCAACATTTCGATGAATAAAACACGAGTTGACGGTGGCCCGCGTTCTGCATTTCCAGTTTATACCGTTAACCAAGAATCAGTTCAAATATATTGCTCGGGCACGATAATTTCGTCGAGGAAACGAAACCGGTTTTCTTGCGGGAAATCGAAATAAAGTGCATATTCGATCGCGTTAATCGAGAATTCTGATTCAAAATCTTGCACATTCGTCCCACGCGCGTATCGTGGGCAAATAAATATTTGATAGAACCGACGCTTCCCACTCGTCGTTCCTCCCAACAGTTGATGCGCGTTAAGGCTTCTTTGCCGTAGCCATCTTGATTAATAACGGCAGAAGCGTGAAAAATATGCCAAAAATGTTCGCATTGAAGTAAACAAAATATATTCATAAAATGATATTTGTGATCGTTTGAGCACATTTGTAATAGATTTCGAAAATTCGCCCTTTTTACTTTGACAGCCAATAAATAGCTGTAAAATTAACACGATATGTAATCTTGGTGTATATTTAAAATACATTGAAAATAAATAGAAAAGGAAAAATATACGCTCGATCACAAATGCCATATTGGAACGTATACCGCAAGAATATTCTGGACACGGATCTTCTCGCTTCTGACGCCGCAAAACGAGATGGTCGCGATGCGAGCCCCGAAAAATTGACAAAAAATTCAGTTGTTATCTAAAGTGCCGGCATTATCTAAAACAATTATACGGCAAATAATGAATGCAACACACTAATTTGTATAATCTCCAATATATTAGAATTTATATTTGAAGTTCCTCGCGACAAACAAATGATCGTCGTCGCGCGAGAGAGTTCAGAGAGCGCGTGATACGTTTTATTGTCCGTCACTTTGCTACGTAAGAGCCGAACAATAGAAACCGCTGAACTCTGCTCGCTCGTGAATTATATTCTGAATGACAGAATGCCTTATATATGTACGAGAGGATGATATACGAGGGCTTGGCAATGACATGATGAACAATTTCGTTAATAGTCGTTAAATCCTGCGCGACAACATGTGACGTCTCGCCTTAGTCTCTCATCGTCGCAGGAAATGACGCAAAGGACTTCTGAGAAACGTTGAACCTCTCGTATCGCTTCTGCAAATCGATCTGAATTAAAGTAAAACTTTCACACATGGAATCAGCGGGAAGGCTCGCGAAACGGATCAGAGGAGGGCACTATACATCCGTGTTATAGTTTTATATATAATTTACTGGATACATACTCTAAAGTGTGTACGCGCGTGTGTATGTGTACGAGTGAGTGGGTGTTGCGAATGTTTTGTGTGTTCGTCGCGATACAATAGTGAGTCGTTATTACTGGTCTACAACTAGCGACGGCAGCTTTGTTTTCGTCTGGCACGGCAAAATATAATTTGTTTCGTCTATCTACCTCTCCCTCCGTTTCTAACTCACGAGCGAAGGTAATCGCGCGAAATCGATTATCGCGCCTGCGAGTCACTTTACAATGATCCTACGAGAGTAATCATTTAAACGTTACACAAGCATCGTCCATAGAAATACACATAGTTTTATCGTTACACTTCTCGCCCAGCTCATCCCGACCTTCAGCTTTATAAATAAAGTCCGCTCCCCGTCCGGCTCTTCTTCCATCTTGCAGCGCAGCGGAAAAGCGATCGGGCGATTTCGTCGCGCCCCGATAGTTAAGTACAGTCCGTTTTCCCGCGCAAAGCCTAGTCTAACACGGATTTTTTAACATTTCCCCACTTGTTTGATTCGCAGTTCTCCGCGGAGCAGCTTCGATCGCGCTACCCGGGATTTCCTCACGCCCTCGCTGTTTAGACATTGAGAATGCGCTCGTCTCACTCTTCCGACTATCCGACACAATATACGCTAAAAGTGCAAACGGGAGATTAAAATAGCCGCGAAACGGCACACGCTCGAGCCCTATTTAGAAAAATGCGTACAAAATAGGAATGTGGCGCACACGCGCGCGTTCCTCAGCCCCGTGATGTGAAGGGAACGGGGAAAGCGTACAATGTCTATAGTAGTAAAATAGAATATGTAATATATCGAATACCTACGTGCAAATTTTTCGGAATATCAAGGAAATCCGTCGACGATCCGCCAAACGATACGTTTATACTACTGGCCTTCTCGCAACACGTCTCACGAATCCGTTTCTCTTTCAGCCGCTATTCTCCTCTTCTTATCAGTTTTCCCTTTGTTTTCTTAGTATGTTTGACGTGTAACAACAAGCGCGAGGGAGGCGGGGGAAAGTGCGGCTAAAAGACAACAGATGTCGTGAGAGAGATCGAATGATAAATTGTACCAAAAGCAAGCGCGAATTCGTACATCCGTCTCTACACGGAAAGAACGAAATCGACCGAGAGAAGCGCCCGTTCTCAGGGTCTGCAATTGCCCATCGGTAAGTCGAATAGTGGTTCAACGTGTTTCCCCTGAACCCTTCAAACGCTGGATTTTCCCCGCGTGTGATGCTTCAATCTCGCGGTAACCAAAGAGACCGCTCGCTGGCGTTACAAAATACGCAACTCCCTTCTCGTCTTGGCACAGAAGTAACTTAAGTAGCTTAGTATCTCTAGACATGTTAACTTGGACGGGTTCCAGACGGCGCGTCTCGATTCGGCAGTTCTCGTCGTGAGAACGAGAACTCGCTTCGTACTAACGATCAAAAGCAGTGTATCGTAACAATTGTATAGAAGTCATTCTTCTTCTTCTTTCAGAGATTATATTCGGTGCTATACCGCGGCGTAGTATCTCGGAACTGTGTGTTTTGCGATGCAATGTAAAATAGATCGCCGCGAGTAACGAACGTGTTTCGGCTGAATTAAAACTCTCTATAAAAGAAAAATAAATGAAGGGAAAAGCGCACCGTCTCGAATCGCGGTGGTCCAAACACACTTAGATTTATTTTTATACAATGATTCGTTCTTATCGTAATCGATAATTGTCGCGCTTCGCTAGAAGTAGCGCGGCGGTTCACATGTACATGTACATGAATTTTAAACTTACATTTACGCATTTCTCTCTCTCTCTTTTTTCTCGCATTAAATTTACACATAAATACACACACATACACACACGCACACACACATATATGTGTGGGTGTGTGTGTATATATGTATTTATTTATTTATATATGTATGGCCGCTCTCTTACTTGTTGTGCGATATCATGTTCGGCCTCCCTCTGCGACCCACGATTACTCTCGCCAATCGCGCGAGATGTATTGTACTTTTACGTTTGCCGGCGTCGTGTCTGAAATATCGCCGCTTTCAAGTCGGTGGTGGTTAAATGAAACGAAAAATAGGAGACGCTTGAAAATGTCGTGTTTCTTATATATATATATACAGTCAGTGAAAGAAAGATTGCAACGTTTTTCTTTCTCGACAAATTTCACAGCGCATTCGTATCCAATAGAAACATTTGTTTTTTTTTTGTGATTATTATTAGAAGATGAATTTTCCTACTGGAATATCGGATGTGTTCTGAAGTTCATCAGGATCAAAGTATTGCAGCACTGAGTTGCTGTGCTTTTTTCACCGAGTATATATTAATGTTATATTAATCGCAAAATTAAAGACTCGTGACAAAAAAATGCTGGAAAACCAAATTTTTTTACAATTTGACATGATTTAACGAAACTGGCAAAATGTCGCGCATCTCTCTCGTTCGACGAATATCGTTAGACGTAATAACGCGCGTCTTCTCTTTTTTCTACTCTCTAAATAGCGCAAAAAATCGTTTAAACCCAATTCTAAGATATAATGATATGACGAGTATCTTCAAGCACAGCCAATCGTACGATGGCACACGAACACTTGTTCCGCGTTTGTTCAATCCGTTCGTTATAATCATGATGGACACGGAGGGCGGCTCGAACGTGACATTCTCGTAACGCGGAAAGTACACGATTTTTTTCTTTTTTGTAGCGGGGCTAACCTGTCAAGGAAAAATGTACGAAAGTTACGTTTTCCAAAAAGTTACGTCTACGTGTTTTGTACAATTGTGTCGTAAGTAAATGGCGGTCGCGGATTGAACGGTGATGAGCGTTGTGTAAGAGGACTTTTGCATCAGTCACAACGATGTCCTTCCTCTTGTCCCCCCCCCCCTTTCGAATACTAATAGGAAGCGCGAAAAAGCACAGACGGCGGAGACGCACACAACTGAGTCTTATTTTAGAGACTGTGAGAAAACGTCTCTCTCTCTCTCTCTCTCTCTCTCTTAGTCCACACTCTTCAAAATTTCTTTGAGTGAGATTTCACTCGGAAAATAGAGCGATAGCCGAGTCATTCGAATTTGAGTGACTTTTTGTTCGTACAGAGTGTATATTTTCACTTGAAACTGAAGAATGAATCAGCGGCAACATCGGTAAACGTTATAATAGTAAAGGATAATTATAAATGCCGTTCCGATTATCAATCTGCAACAATGTTATATGTAATTTCAAACATTCATATACGAGGAAACAATACATTGGAATTAAACGGCCAGATCTTGAAATCTAATCTAACTTTGAATCTAACGCCATACATGGTGCATCCAAAATAAGGCTCCTGATGTACTTGAATCGTCTCAGAAAGAAACTCATTCCAATTCATTCAAGTGAAATGATCGCTCACATGGAAGAAGGATCCACTATATGGTCTGAGTGAAACGTTTACTCTTGTGATCCCGAATTGCGGTGTGTCTTCGTTATATTCGAGTGAACGCTTACTGATCTCGAGCAAGATCCACACTCCGGGAAATTTCGAGAGTAGCTTTGCATGAAGCAGCACATCTTGCGAAATAACGAAACGGAACGGGACCGATCATCAACCGCAGACGTGCGTATCCCGGACGTATTCTTTCAGAATAATAGGCAAGGGAAGCAAGGGCGCCGTGAATCCGCAAATAATCGTCGAATTCACCGAATATTAGCTTATGTGTGAATTTTTTCGCAAGAACTTTCGAGATTTTCGAACTTCTCCTTCATTCTTCGGCTTGCTGCTGGCCGGCTATCTCGCGGATTCACGGATCGATGATGATAGTTTTTTTCTTTTTTTCCGAAACATTAAAACTTATAGATCCAACGATCGAATATGCCACTATAATACCGTATTTTAAGAGAGAAAGAGAAAGAGAGAGAGAGAGAACTACTTTCTCTCTCTCTCTCTCTCTCTCTCTCTCTCTCTCTCTCTCTCTCTCTCTCNTCTCTCTCTGGGTCTTTTCTCCATGATTTTCAGTTCGGTCGCTGCGTCCGCAAAGCGCGCGTCGAGATCGTCGGTCCACCCGCGAAATTCCTATATAATATCGCGCCTATTGAGCCCTACCGAAATGATTGAAATCTACCTATAGCCGTGTTTGTCATTGGTAATCGTCATAGTTGAGAGTATACACGATAACCACGCTGGAATCGCCGTTTTTGTCTGCCTGTTTTGTCCGCTCTCCTTTCTCTCATTTTTTCTTTCTTTCTCTCATTTTCTAACCGTGTTCGATTAGAAGAGGCCTTTCTTCTTGTTCTTCTTGTCTTTACCGTCGACAGCCCTGAAAGAAAAATTTCCATATAAAACAGCTGTCCAAATACTATTAAACATAACGTAGACAAATACAGCGTGCGCACGTGTGTCGCCGATAACGAGAGAACAGTTTTTGTAAAATCGTTGGAATGTTATCGCATAACGCGTTCAATCGTATTGTGTCTTCTAATAATCGTAACGCGCGGGCATGTACAAGTCACGAAAGTTCGTCACGGACGAAAGTGCTACGAGGACTGGCTGATGGCAGGGACCGATCCAGACGAAAGATCTGGAGTTTGCTTCGCGATCAGACAAATGTTCTTTCTCTGTTGATCAGCGATAATCAGTTCGAATCATCAAAATGATAATCATACATGCGCGCGTATACGCAATATATCTATCACAATATGCTCTCTAATTTTCTTATGGTGAAATCTCATTCAAAACGAGTAGAACTTCATTAATGAAATGATGGTGAACATATCGTCACTCGAAATCACAAGAGCGGAATGTTTAATTTGAGTTTAGAGAAAAAATTCTTAAACCGTCCAGAGAATATTTCAATCGATCAGGACGAACTTGTTTCTGTGAGACGGTGGGGAGATTCACTCTCCAATTTCGAATCAGAACACTCGACGATTCAGAGTATGAATGAAAATTCACTCGAATTTGAATGACTCGGATGGTACGTTGTTTCCCGCAAGTGGAATTTCACTCGAAGAAATTTAGAGAGAAAATGTATATAATTATATATAATATATATAAAATAATATATATAATATATATATATATATATCTCAGATGTAAAAAATATATAATGTTACACTTGTATTACTTACATCGATAAGAAATTCGTTATTTTCGTCTGATGTAGACCTACTTTTTACAAACGTCGCGAGAAAAATTATCGGATTATCACTCGACGGTGTTTTACTTCGACGCGTATATTATTCTCAGAGAAATGCGAAAGATCGTTCGGAAGCATATTACCGACGCTCAACAAAAATGTCTAAAGCAGCACGCGACTCGCAGCCGGTCACAATATAATCCGTTATTGCGAAATTATTTGCGATTTTGCGAGTATAAAATCTATATCCATGCGAAAAAACCATGCTTCAATCCCATCCTTTGGTCGCCACCAAGGAGCAACAACATGCTAAATCGCAAGTATACCCGAAAAGTTACGTCAAGTCTATCGTGTTTTCGTTCAATTTTGCCTATTAAGCGCTGCTTGCGGTATAACACGTCCGTTTTTCCAGATATCTTTGCGAAATATACGAATACATTTGTATATGTGAGAATGTTTACATAAATATTTGAATTATGCACGCGATATTTGCACTCTCGAAACATTTATGCTGACTGCAGATACATATGCACACTGAGAATGTCGTTAACATATCGCCATTTTAATTTCTCGCAAATGAAAAGACGACGGAAGGTAAAGAGAAATTCGTGAAAATCAACTTGGGAATACCACTCATCTGTTGCAACTGTTTAAACGTAATCATTAATCGCGTTGATTTAAAATTCAACTGTATTTTGCGGCTGAACAATTTGCAATTATTGCGGCAGCGCAAAACATTCCGTTGAGTTATACGTGATGTCGCGAAGAGTGAACTTATTAAAATGACGATATATTATGAAACAGTAAACATTGTACGCACGTGGAGCAAACTATGGCGTAAAAGAAGACGAGGAAAGACTGTGTGCCGCCATTTTTGTGAGTTTTCGCATTTCTTACTTATCTATTTGCTCGTTTCGATTCTTTCTCTCTTTTCTTGCGACATAAATACACACAACTTTCCCTTATTGCTTCGCTTACGCTCCGAATACAAATAAGCTAAAAATCGCATGAGGACTGAAAACGGTTAGTAAATGCTTTAGATAAGCAGTTGGCGTTTATTTTGCAAAAAAAAGAAAAATCGGAATCTTGAAATTAACAATATATAATTGTCTGTGAGTAATTATTAGTAATAGGCGGTTATTATCCTCTACCAAGCTGTCTCTGTTTTTTTTTTCGGTTTTCTTCTTTCTTCCTTTCTCTCAATACTCGAGAATTTTTCACAAAATTCGTAGAATCTTGCTTGAGATAAAACGTCAGATCATGCCTGTGTGAAAAAATTAATTCGAAAAACAATGACAATCGGTCGAACAGTCCTTAATGGCAAGAAATATATTAGGGGAAAAAAGAGAAAAAAAAAACACGTGGTCGAACGAGCATGAGATCGACAGCTTGCTCAGAGTTTACAATGTCTCGATTTTCACTAATTACGCGAGGATACGAAATGGTCATTCGTATAGATCAACCCTTTACCGTATGGTGTTTGGTGTAGAAAATATGATTTTGAAGAATGGACGAGACATATATATATATATATGTCTGCTTTCTTCTTAAGAAATGAAAAGAAAACTCGCAACCGTGCAAACTCGTGAATCTTGTTGTGATTTTGCTCCGTAACAGGGAGCTTAATGAAAAAAAAAAAAAAAAAAANTCTTCGCGATTAATTCCGCGTATGCTTCCAATTCGTTATCGCGCGACACGCAGTCAGTCGAAGAACAGTGAAATCGGAAACGTCGATTTTACGTATCATCCCAGTACAAAATACACAGTTCAGCTAACAGACAAAACGATAAAGCTGCGTTAGCCATTGCTGACATCATCACACACGCATGAGAGGAGGAGAGCTCAGAGACGGATAAAAAGCGGCTTCTTCGTCCCACAAGAATGCGATGTGCTTATTAGTTCAATTGTGATGAATGTAAATAAGAAATAATGCGGCATAGCTCGTGGCACTTTATCGACGAGATAAGCGCAAGGCTGTGACCGATTATGGCACGTGGCGCACGCGGTAAAGGGTTGAGAGGTCCGAGGAGTATGTAAAACGCACGTTTTACATACGGCGAGAGTACAAAAACGACGTTTACGACGAGGTAAAAAAACGACTTTTGTACGCGACTTTCGCTGTGTTGCCCGTGTTACATCGTTATCTCTCTCTCTCTCTCTCTCTCTCTCTCTCTCTCTTTCTCTCTCTCGTTTTATCAAAGTCCGTGCCAAAAATACGTTGCTAAATTGTACATATAAGCTATAATACTCAATACGGTGTGAAATATCGTGTCTACATGTATCTTTTTTTCTCACTGTGATTTATATATCCCGTTTCCTAACGTTGCCACGTCGAGATATTCTACGTGTGTGTTTGTACGTCGTATAACGTCGATATCGGACTGAGTATTGGAAATTTAGGATCGCAGATTGAAGATCGGAATTATCGGGACAAAGCGAATCACGACCGAGATTACTTAATCGCCCGATTTGAATCTCTAATCTGCAATCCTCAATCTCAATTACCCAGCGTAATGCGGGCTTAACGCGACGCGTATTACGGCGAAAAGAAAGTGAAGACGAGAAACGAAGACGAACGCACACGAGAGATTCGCGCGGAACGGGGATATGCGATGAGTCGCGTTTTCCTTCATGGGACGCGCGTCACTCTTCGCTGTGAACTATGAACCGGAGAAACGCGTGACTTCACCGAAGAAATTTGCGTTGTTAAGACAGGGCGTTCTGGAAAAAGAGGCGGGGATAACGAGTGTCGTTCGTACAGGATCAGAGATTGAGAATGTTTACGCTTAATGAGAGAACAAAGCCCGGGACTATCTGTTCTTTGAATTTCCCCGAGCGAGAGTTCCACTCGAGAAGTAAAGTTACAATCACATTACATCACACAAAATTTTCACTCTGAATAATCAATTGAATACTTTGAAGAGTAAAAATCCAACGTACTCCATCGTCTCGCAAGAACAAATTTGTTCTGTTGGATTTTCATTCGTTTTCAATGAGATTTTACTTGGAGAAATTTAAATAGTACAGCTCTCTCTCTTAACTCACATTCTTTCGACTCGTTGAAGAACCCTTCACCGGTTTATAATCTCTAATGTTCTTGTTAGACAATAAGACATCTTTAAATCAAACACGAGGAAAATTTTTAATCCAGAGCAAAACTTTCGTCATTGAATTTGTATCTGTAAAGAGATACTCTAAAAGAACATTCTAAAGCGTTATTTCGTATTCAGTTTCTCAATTCGGCTGTAAACGCCGCACGCTGAATAGTCCTTCAATTTAAAACGACTGAATTGAACGCAAAAGTCGTGAAAGACAGACAACTTTGTTCAGCTGTTCGTCATCGAATCCCGTATCTTTCACGACACTCGTCCCTTATGTACATCGATTCTCTCTCACTCGGCTTTGATTGAACTTTAAGAGGTGTATTGTTACACTTGCATGCAGTCCCGAAATGCATGTGATTCTAACGGAATCGATACCTATAAAAACGAACGAGAAACAATGCGTGAAGTGAGTATGAATACAAAGACGAGACACGATCGATTGTAAAATCGCTGGAATGGATTTACCGCGCCGGATATCGCACATGTGCCGAAACGCGTGAACGCGATATTATCCCTTTCCTTTTCTCTTTTTATGGCGTACGACGGACACTTCTCGTTAGAAATATACAGTCGCTTTGGATTACGATATGTATCGAACTCGGGTTAAACGAGTTGTAACGCACACGTGTCGATGCGAGTGAGTGCCGCCCGTGCGATGTGATGATAGTGTCGGCAACGCGTTCCGTTCTCAAATTACTTCACACAGTCGCGGAATCTGTCCGTCATCACGTCCGACGATCAGATATTGGTACATGTCCAAAAGAATCGGCGAAAAAACAAAATCGCCGAAGATCTGGAACTTGAGGAGAAAGGGTAAAGAATAAAATTCAGACAGGCGGCACTTACTCCCGTCAACAAGCACAAAAGACTCCTTTTTTTTTAACCTTTCCTCAGGCGATCGAGGTCGTGTGTTTGTAACATGCGCTTTCACGTAAAATATTTCTCTCTCTCTCTCTCTCTCTCTCTCTCTCTCTTTCTCTTTTGATCGGCTATTATCTGATTTGATTGTTCTCGATTGATCTCGGAAGGAGACATTTTGATTTTTTCCATTCTCACGCTCGATCCGCTACTCTCTGTTAGGATTTTTCCCGTATCTGAGCGTAGAAGAAAAGACCAAGATCGTCTGAGCGAGGGTTGGAGATCGCGTCAAGAGTGGAAAATTCGCGACCTCGGCGCAGGAGTCTCGCGGGTCCGACAAGTCTATTAGGGGTGCTCAGGATGCTGTATGACAAGCTGTATCTGTGTGGGGCTGTCTTGAGGTGATTTGAAACTGGTGTGACGGCGAAGAAGGCTGCCTATCCCTCGGGACCCCCTCAACGTACTCCCGCCACCGGATCCCTCGGAGGACACCGATCCCGTCCTAGATCAGGAGGACACCGCGATATGGTATACACACAAGAGTGACAAACAGCCGAGCTCCCTTTCTTTCTTTTCGAACGTACGAGAGACCGAGAGCAAAGAGAAAGAAGACTCGCGCGGCACGTGATCGCGGCCTTACGTCTACATGGTGAATCATCCTGGGATCATCATCGGGTCAATGTGAGACACTAACAGTCACCCTGGCGAACCGCCGACGTTCTTGTTCGCGCGATGAAGCGATTGTTTTTCGTCTTGATGGAGTGTGCGACGCGTGTAAACGTCAGCGGTTCGACGCTGAGACGTCGCATTTGGCGCTGAATGGGTCTGCCCGGATTCGTCGAAGTAACGACTGCTGACCGTTTGTACGGACGAGTCGTTTGAAATTATCAACGGAGATTTTCCTCTTTCAATTGCAAATCCGGATAATCTCGTTCAGCGCTAAACGCGCGATGAGAAATATGCTTCGTGGGAGTCGCGTGATGCGTGTGCGAACTATATTCCGTTAATACAAAAATGATTAAAAAAAAACAAAATTCGATTGCGCGCGCGCACATACATACATACACACGAGGATCGACCCGATGGAAAATATCGTGTCGATAATGATTGCTCGATAATTAGTGCAAAAGCTTCATGAAAACTTCGTGAAAGCTTCGTGAAAGCGACCGGGATAGTAAAGGAACGTGAATGATGTCCAAGCGTGAACGGAATATTATAGCGGCACGAACAACTACGAAATTTCACATTAAATCTAAACACGTATTAATGACTACGAGATACAGCGGAGAACGAAGCCCGCACATCGTACAATACGGTACAGGTACGTCGCTCGATCCACTATTTGTGTTCTTTCGGTCACGGATTTCTCTCCTTCGGGAACGCGAGCTCGACTTGTTGACATTTTTATATGGCATCTCTTCCTTGTTCGATAAACGTTAGTACTCTCACGAGCCAAAACGAGGAAATTAAAATTAGTATAAAAATATTGTTCTTTCTTCACCGGAATTTTTCGGTATTATACAAAAACTAAAAAAAAAAATACCGGCATGACTTCGTATATTGGATACAGCATGTGTAAATTTTTTTAATATTAGTATTATATTGTCATAATATCACATACGGAATCATCCGAAACGATACTACTACATCGGTATCAAAACGAAACCTGCAAAAGTTTTCACTTCGGACAATACGACATCGATATATTCGGCGAATGATCTCTGCGACCGAAAGAAAGCACGGTAGTGGGTGGGACACAGACTACAAGAAAGCTGTCATGGAAGCTGCGCCAGACTCTAAATTGCGTTGCGTGGTTTTTACGCCCTTAAACACCGGGGGATGTTCAAACAACTCGAAACCCAGATACTAAATCACACAGCTCCAAGCGATATATATATGTATAGCCGCTTCGTTAATTGCTCGTAATTGTGTTAGCGACTTGTGACGTGAAAAATTAAAATAGGATCAAGCTGAACGAAGACATTTCTCTTCCTTTGTGGAGGAATTTCGTGCGAGAAACAACATATCTTGTTCGAGACACAATAAAGAAAAAAGTAAACAAATAAAAAAAAACGTGTGTGAGAGAGTGCAACAGTGAAAACACAACGATCGAAGGTAATGTATCGCTTTTCTTTTTTCCTTCTATTTTTTTTTTTTTTCATAAGGACTACTTACTCTTTTGAATTTGCTTCTAAACTGCGTCTACGTAATTCTTCAATACTGTGGCCGGTCTGCTGCTCCCAAGCAGTCTTCTCCGCCTCGAACGCCCGTCGCTTCTCCTCCAGCTCTCGCACCTGCTGCTCCAACGAACGCCGCATTTGCTCGTGCCTTCTCTGCAACTATTTCCCCATTCCCCGTTAATATCAAAATTGTTTACACTTTATGTCAATATAAGCGCAAAGAAATTTGAAGAGAAATATCGATCGAGTGAAGAACAGACAAAAAAAAAATACATATCGAGGCGCGGCAACATTTCACTCACATCCGCTTCGGATTCCTTCAGTTTCTGCTTCTTCTCGCGAACCTTCATTTCGAACACCTGCTCCATTTCCGTCTCCATCTTCTTCATTTTGTTATCGTGTTCTCTCTTCTCTTCCTCTAACTGCGCCAACGGGTTCCTGTGAAATATCCCAACGGGGACTCGGTTTAAAACTACAAGCCAATTAAACTCGCCGGTACACGAGGATACAGAGTAACGTGGGAGATCGTATCGGACATCCTCGATACTTATCTAACTCTTGATCAGTGCTCTACTCATGTCTACGAGGTCCCGTTAGCTCTTTGCGGCACGAGAAACTCGACTCTCGACTTGGAATTTCGCAAATAAACAACCTCCAAGTTAGAATCAGAGTTCAATTCAGAGAAGATAACACAGTCGTCTCTATCTACTCAACGATCATAATTAATTAACTGTCTCTCCTGGATTATTGCGGATAATAATTAACAGAGAGTGCTGCAAAAAGATAACGGTAAATTAAAATAACCATCAACTGACGTGGCCAAATTACGCGCGGATAAGTTAATTATCCCCCTCTCCCGCTCCGGATTTATTAAAAAGAAGTATTCGAAATATCCGCCTTTCGTTGCGGAACAATCAATGGAAAAAGAATAACAGCGGAACAGCTATTCCCACAAATAATAGCACGATGGAGCGTGTAACTCGTCAGTTAAATTCCAATAAGGCCGCGATCAGTTAAGGGTTAAACGCCGGAGCCCGGATTTGCATTGAATCCATGCTATGCAAATTACGCCCAATAATTGGTTTCCTATTTCGTTACTATTTCGAACGCGGCAAATAGAATATCGCTCCCGAACTCACGAGAGACTGTTACAAACTCAGATGTTCGATCATGAAATATATATCACCATGTCGTCGCGAAGCGACTACACACAGAAAAAAAAATGGTTGATCTCGTTAAAATTACAGTCATTTTCAACCATGTTCTTTTGTTGTTCCAACGAAAAAATGATATTGTAACAAAACGCGTACGTAGTCATTATCATGTCGACACTATAATAGCATTTACTGCAAAAATTGATTGTAATTGTTTCTCACTCTATTATAATCACTATTTTATAGTCATCATTTCACTATTATGGTTTCACAGTTATAGTCACAAATACCAAACAGGCTTTCTTCTCAGTCTACAGACGCGAGAACGTTCATTGGCGACGTCTCGTCGTTCTTCCGTCATTTCCATGCGATGCAAATCCGAGGCTCTTGTGTAAAAAGTAGGCATGATAAAGTCTATTGAGGTTACAGCAATATATTTACAGGCATTATAGGAAGTATAACGGTAGCTAGCTACGTTTCCTTCCGGCGAGGGAACTACCCAACACAACCAGATACGTACTAACGCCAAAGGACAAACGTGAACATAATAAAAGCGGCAGGCAAACGTAAAAATCGGGTTGCATCTAATGTGTGAGATCTATCTTATCACTTGGTCTGTTTCTAAGGAACGTACAATGATCCGCGTCGACTATTTCTCTCGGAGGCCTCACTGTATATGCATTAGACGCGCGAGCGCTAGATCGCCGGATTAAAAAAAAGAAATAGAAAAAGGAGACGATCTTCTTTAACACGCGAAATTCTTTTTCTCTTTCTTTCTTATCCGACGTAAGGTCAGATATGTAATATCATCGCGCGCAGTGAGCCCTCTCGAAAATTGGATGATCCCGAGAAAAAGTTTTCGAGACTCGACAAGGCTTGTGCACACAAAACCATAGGTACATCCTTTTCAGCCTTATTGAAGGACTTACCACACCGTCATGAAACTGTTCATCACTCCTGGAGGGCACAAACTGACCAATAAGAAATTCACCATTAAAATTCGCACGGGACGACGACGCGCTGTCGAGGTGGCGTGGAGAACAAGAACAAGAGAGAAGAAGCAGCCACCCGGGCAGCGTTCTCGTGTCTAGTCTAAGAATACAGATTATCGCTCGCGAACGAGACAACGCTACTAGCGACAATTCGAACGCGATTCTGTGGGCCTTGGATAACGTTTGCATGCACAACCCTTTTCTTTTCCTCCGCGAAGAATTCCCTCGGGAAAAACCCAGAAAAGAAGTCGCAAAACGACACTGGTGTGGTGGTTGCACAAGCTGCGTTTCTTATATTTTACACAAGTACACACAATCGACTCAAGAACCGGCGAGTTTCCGGCGTCGGTATACACTGGTAGTGAGAATATACTGAAGCTCGAAATAAAACGATCTCAACGCATATACACAGACGAGTGCTCGCTCGAGACACGCTGCGTGCTCAAATCAAACTCAATGAAACAAACAGTCTGGGACTTGCGGCGAGTGCACCGAATAGACAAAGCGAGGCGTGTCGTGATCTTCATCGGACGGACTAAGGAAGATGAATCGTTCCATCATTTAATGCGTCCGATATTGCCGCCACACTGGGGACAGGTGAATTAATCAATTGGCCAACGCATTACACGTCATATCAGGCTAAGTGGCTGTCGGGGACGCGCGTGTATTTTTGGGAGCTTCGAGCCCGCTGCGAGCAAGCGGTTCGGGGAATCTTACGAGATCACGACACGACTGATTCGTCTACTTTCGACGAACTAAGAAGAGGTACATCTATATTCCTCGATAAAATGTTTCTAGCACGATTATGTATCTTTTTCTCTCTCTTTCCCACATAGACGGTAGACGGAACATTTACGAAAAATCGCAAAACTAAATCAAGCGGCATGAGTGGTACTTACTTATTCGAGGCCTTCGTCGGCTTGCCGTCGACACCCAGGCCGGCTAACGTGCGACATCGGAAGTTCTCGTAGTGAACATTGTTCGTCACGTCCTTCAAATCCTGCACGTGCGTCCTCACTACCATGTTTCGAAGGGCTATGAAATCGCAGTGATCCAGATTCTCGACTGCGTGAGAAAAAGAGGAACATGAAGCGGCACAGTCACAATTATCGAACATACTTAAGGATTTAAGCGTTCCAAAAGTTACATTTCCTCGTTGTAACTTGAACAATTCGATCGTTCATGACCAATCAACAGTTATAAAATAGTTTCGGGAATTTTCTTTCCGACGACAATCGACCGGCAATTCGACAACATCGAATGAATTCATACACACCTTCCGCAACTCCCCAGGGATACTTCCTGCCCCGCACTTTCTTGCCGTCGTGCTCAACGACAGTGTTCGCTCCCACAACCGCGAACGGCACTCGGTCCCTCAACACCTTGTGGAGTTTGTTCTCTTCCTCCTCTTCGACCTCCGGAAACTCGTAGATCTTGATCTTGTGTTGTGCGATCTCGTTCAAGATCTGGAAACGCGAATCGAAAGATCAGCGATGTTATCTCTCTCTCTCTCTCTCTCTATTGAAAAACTTTCAACAAGTCATGCCTGTTTCTTGAAGTGCGCGCACTCATCCGGCGTCATAGTGTCCGCTTTGGCGATAACGGGTATGATGTTGACTTTGTCGTGGAGGCGCTGCATAAACTCCACATCAAGTGGCTTCAGTCCGTGGCCCGCAGGCGCGACGAAATAGAGACAGCAGTGCACTCGACTATCTGGAATCTGCCGTCTCGTTACGCGGGACTCCGCGTTGAGAAATTCCTCGTACTTCGACTCGATGTAGTCGATGACCGGCACCCAACTGGAAGAGAGAGAAAATCAGAGAGATATCGTCGACTAATTTATATTTATTTATTTATTAACGATATATTGTTAATTAATTATATTATTGAAGACGCGAGGAACTTGGAAGAATTCATTTTCTCTTTGTACGTAATTACCAGTTGCTGTTGTCGACAGCGTCGCCGAATCCGGGAGTGTCGACTACTGTGAGTGTGAGGTTGACGCCGTTCTCCTTCAGCAGCACTTTGCTGGTTTCCACGGCGACCGTCTTCTTCACCCTGTGGCTGGGTCCGGGGTATTCGGCGCTATTGTATATATCCGCCAGGAACATGGAGTTGATCAAGGTGGACTTGCCGAGCCCCGACTCCCCTAGATGAAATTTTCAATCTCACTTTATTATCCAACTTTCTACGAGTAAAACTTCATACCGAGAAAATTAGAGAATATGTACAAATAATAGGCTTGTTTTTTTTGGCTGAACTGTCGGTTGCCAGCACTTTTTGCCATTAGAGTAAAACAATATTATGATCTAGCGTTGAAAGAAAAAAACGAATAAAGTGCCGATGCAACAATAGTTGAAAAGAACACAGACCTAACATTTCGTACATCATCGAAGATATCGCGCGAAACAATTTTTCGAATACGAATATACGCTTCGTTGTAAGTCCGTCCCATAGACATTCATCTTTCTCTTGAGAGTGAGAGAGAGAAAGAGAGAGAGAGATCCAATTCGCCGAGACACTACAATCCTCTCAAAGCGAAATAGCCATAGACGCGTTCCACCTCTTCCAAAGGCAACGATCATTAATCTCAGTCGGAGTGTTCACGGTCCAAGTATTTACGGAGTATTTACAACATTTCTGGGATATCCTGAAGAGGGATATACACGAAACGAGAGGGAGAGACCGATGCAGATCCGGCGAGATAAGTCGAAGACGACGACCCGCGCGTCGTCCACTGACCGAAACCGCTGAGCGAAATGAAATGAAACGCGCAGTGATGCGAGAGTACCATGACCTCTTAATGCGCGAACCTTGAACCAGGCGAAGTGCCGCGCCTACGCCACCAAGGGTAAGCAGCAGTAGCACTTGGATTGCTCTATTTACGGAGGAACGGCTCCGTTTATACGCGAAGCTAATAATAGCTGGGCGTGCACAGACTGTGCTCTCAAATTTCCCCCCAGACCCAATGACACTCTTTTACACTCCGCGTGTGCATAGCACGTCGGCGGGCAGGCTTGCGCGTTTAAAATCGTACGGCCGCACTGTCGGCGGTTTAGCCAGCATTTTTATCAACAAGCTTCTCGAACGAGCAGCCGGTCAAATTCCTCAAACGTCTCTGCCTCTCTCTCTCTCTCTCTCTCTCTCATGACGTCGTGTTTGAAATTGCAATTATAAGATTATGTTTCAAATGAGATTTTACTCGGAGAAATTTAGATGATACTTTACACGACAGTTTCGTACGAGGTAGAAAATAAAAATATTGAATTGGACGAATTCGTTATACTTATTCCCACATTAAATAGCCCTCAGTCGCGGCCGTTCTACTCCTCTTAAGGAAACCGGCCGGCCGGCAATAAATTCGAGAGCAACGGGGACGCGTGCGCGACAATGAATGATTTATGGTCTTTTTCAATCGGCCGAGTCACAAAGTTACTCTACATGCGGGACGCGTTATCGCCGCGCAAATTGGCCGGGGGATGTGATGCCGTCCATTTGCATAAATAACGCAAGGTCGACGTAGAATGAGTAGACAGATGGTCGGAGATTCCGCGAAGGTCGGGCATCGAGAGAGATGGCACGGATGGATGCCGCGGCGAAGGAGCGAGCAACCCCGGGGGGCGTTCGCGGTCTAACCGCGTGAGAACCGCTGAACGTTCGGCGACAGCCTTGATCCAGCTGCGGGAGGAGGACTCAGCACGTGCTCGGCAGATGGAAAGAAGGTTCGCGAGATGATATTCCCGACGAAATGGAAATACCGGCCGCGGAGGAGAAACGGATCCCTTTGTCCTCGGGATACGCTACTCGCTTCAAGTCGCGAGACAGACGGTCGTTGTTCTTCCGGCCGCATAATGGCCACTAAGCGCGCCCAGGCTCCGTAAACGGATCGCGTTTCCCGCTGCGAGCTCGATGATGCACAGCTCGGCGCGTCCGGGTGCACTTTGCCGGAAAATCGCAACACACTCATCGATCCCGACGCGACGGCGTTACTTTAAACCGTTGACTCATCGTGTTGACTCGCGTCTCTGTGTTACGTTTCTTTCCGGTTTTATTATATAAAAGGCGCGCGCGAGAGTCCTTACGACACTCACTCATTCGTTGTAAATTCCATCGATTACATCGTACCGCACGGACTCCCCCGTATTTCTATTCTCTACTCTCGAAATTTCTCGGGCCGATATCTCATAAGAAAAACAGAGCGACAGCCGACTGTCACGAGAACGAATTCACCCTGATCGATCGAAACGTTCACTCCTGCGGAGTCAGAATCCGCTCTAAGCTTAAGTCAAACATTTGCAACTTCAGGTATGGGAGCAATTTAGCTGTCAAAAATGGCGAGGAAAATTAATTTCATTTTTAATCTCTCTATTTCGAGTGACAGTATTCTCACTATCACTTCGAATGAAAATACTTCCATTTTGCACTCGTTCGGAGTAAGGTTCCACTGCAAGAAATTCCGAGAATGAAACAAACCGACAGAGGTGATAATCACGACGATACCGACCTACGACCATGAGTGTAAACTCGAAGCCCTTCTTCACGGCCTTCCTGTAGACCTGGTTAGGTAGATTGGCGAAGCCAACGTAGCCGTCAAGTTCTTTAGGCTTGGTGGGTGGTGTGGGTCGCGAATGATGCAGCAGACTAGTCTCCTTGTTGCTGTCTTCCTTGGAAGTGGTCCGAGCGGACTCGCGTCTATTGCTATCCTCGGAAGCGTCGTTCGGGATCGTTGCCGCGGACGGCAACCGTGGCTTCGCGTTCGACCCTAGGCCGACCGAAGGCGTCACGGCGCTGCTGGAGTAACCAGATGAGGCTGACGAGGGTGGCGTCGGCGCTGTGTTCGGCGACGTGAGACTACCCGTCGTGAAACTCGCCGACGACGATGTGTTCGTGGCTGAATTCGGGGCCTGCGACGGTGGCTGTGGTGGCGGCACCGACGGCACCGACGGCGACGAGATTATCGACGCGCCGTCGCCTTTGAAGAACAGCTCGCGCTTCGCCTGGATCTGAAGGAGAAACGGTAAGAGACGTGAGAAAGTGCATCGAATATCGCATTGTATTTGAAACGTCAAATTCGAACAAAGTACACGTTTTCTCGTCTAAATAAATCAATTCAGCGTAATGAAACGTTGATAAATATTTGGTTCTTGTGTTCCGTCTTTTATAAATTACCTTACTTATTTATATATTCACTTATATTAACGGGAAGAGACCGTTCCCTTCAATACAAATATTTGCAATTTTAAAATAAATTGCATAAAGAAAATTACATTACACATCCAGTGCACACTCTGGAATGTGACACTTGGACGATAGTTGTAACACCGAGTGCCACTGCAACGAGGGGAATAAACGCGAAGGAAATGGAAACTATCGCGTCCATTTCGAAAGCGGAAGCTTCGCGGTCTCCTTCTCACGCGAGAGGCACCGACGTGGAATCGTTTCGCGACTGCATTTCGCAATTTCAAGGTTTAAACGCGCCCAGGCGTTCCGGAGATCGGCTGAATTACTCCGTACTACATAATAATAGTAAGTGTACGCGCGATTCCACGCGTTACTTCGACCGTAACGGTCGTATACACGCCGGAGACGCGTAAACTCGGCGAGCGAGAGAGAGAGAGAGAGAGAGAGAACACCCTCTCAGCGATAAAATCATATCGCGCGATCGATATTGCATGCCGGCCTCGTGGCTTCTGCTACCGCAGTGTCTTCTTATGCGCTTCCGGCCGGAAGTGATCAAAGTGCAAAACATCGACCGTTACACGATGGACAGCCGAGTTTGCTGATATCCGCAGAGAAAAGGCTGTTAAAAACATTTGCTTTTTCCTCAGACAGAGGACGACGCTCCGCATTCTTCGAACGGCGAGGGTTTCTAAAATACTGGTGTCAATTCCGGGGTTGTCCAGGTATCTCGGATACCCGGAAATCTCGGAATCTTATGAGCGTCACTATCGGTGATTCAATGATATTTCTCAAATTACTCGAAGTACATACTACTCGGATATTCGAGTGGATCTTCCTTTCGAGTACCTGGGTACTATCTCTGAAATTCTTGGAGTGGAATTTCATCGAAGACAAGTGAAAAGTGGCAGTATTTTCACTTGCGCGGTAATGAAAATACTAGCACTCGAAATCGCGAGAGTCAACGTTTCGCTCAAGTTTTACCCGCTCGGTGCAGTTTTCGCTGAAGCACGGAGTCAGCGGAGTTCTATCCCAACAAAGGCGATAACCCCCGTGTTTGAGCCTAAATGGCGATCGTTTAACGTTGAGACGTAGAAGGTGCGCCAGAAGGCACCGTGATACACACCACGTGTCCCGTTACACTCGGACGCTCGTCGTGGAATACGAATGAATCAGGTAATCCGAATGCACACACGCGGCGATACTCGTAAACTCGTGCGTAAGGTCAAGGCGGAACAAAGACCGTTCTCGAAGTGTCATGAAGAATGACGAAGAGTCATCCGTCGTCTCGATGAGATAAATTTCGTTAATAAACCCTCATGAATCGTCAATCTAATAATACATCCACGAGAGACGCTTTTCGGCCAACGTTTGTTCCTTATCGGACTGTTATCAGTTTGGATAAGATTACACTTTATCAGGAAACATCTACGCTGAGACAGTTCTTCTTCATCGAGATATACCAACGAGGCTCATACGTTTCTCACATTTTAGCGTACGGATCGATAATTTCAATTGATGCGGAAATTAATGACACGTGTCGCTTATCGATTCATCTTTGACCTTTTGCGGAACTTCCTCTCTAGTACTGCTCGGGAAGTTGCAGATTCATAATTTCAAGTAAATTTGAAGAGAGTCCGAGAGAGATCTTCGCCTTCGAGCGAAGAAAATTCTTTGCTTATCGAGCGCTTCGTTCCCAAGTCGTTTCGCCGAGTCAACGAACGAACGATTGCGCTTTAAAAGCATTTCACGCGCGCAACGCGGGATAAACGGCGGTCGCTGCAAATGGAGTAGTGTAGCATGCAGCAGCTTAAAGTGCACACAGCTTTGTTGCAACGTTCGCATGCCGGATAAATCCCCGACGGTAAAGTTGGTTCCTTCGACTCGTCGCCGTTCGAAATACTTGAAAAAGCGATACGACATCGCGGAAGAAGAAAAAGGAGAACGAGAATGTAAAATGTCGCTTCGTATATTCGATGACGAGGTGATAGCGGACTATTTTGTGCCAAAATTTCTTCGTTTCGTCATTTTAGACTGTAGTTCCAAAATTTACTACCAGCGCTGAAAATCTATGGTTTATGTCGCGTACACTATACGCACACTATAGATCTTTCAGTATCGGTAGTGAATATTGGAACGCAGCCATACAGAGTATTGTGTCAATATGAAATATTGTAACAAATAATATTTTGATAACTGAATACCTATCCAATCTCACGGATATCACCCAGGTATAAATAAAGGATTTCGCGTCTCCTTTCCTCGAAGGACTGCTGCGCGTTCGCGGCACCACCGTCGCTACCAATCGCATTTTACACCAGTCTGTTCGCTTTGACATTTAGGTTCGATCATCGACTTGTACGGCCATTCCGAAGGGATGAGGGAAGAAGAGCGTCGGACCGCTTTGTGTACAACACGTCGCTCATGGTTGTTTTTACCACGGTGAGACAGAAACGATGACACAGTGCACCAGGAGTCGCCTCTCCCCTGGGAGGGTGGCGACTGCGAGTTTATACCGGCGCTTCGCATTCACAAAGTGAGTCTCTGGGAACACAGGGGACCGGCGAGTGCAGCAGAAACCGGTCCACCACGCAAGACTGCATCGCGGTGCAGCATCATATAAGTACACACATACACACGTATATTCCGGGGATATAAAGTCACACTGTGACGACTCGGCGAGTGCGCTTCTTTCTCGTAACCGCTGCCGTGTGTGTATCGAGCGCGCAAAAAAGAAATGAGAGAAACAGAGGGGAAGAGCAGAAACGACGACCCGGCGGTTTCGCGGTGGATACACTCAAAAACATTCCGCCGCGAAAAGACGGAACAGAGGGTACACTCGATATTTTTTCTCTCGTGTTTTTACTCCGAAAGCGCGTTCTGACCGTAAAATTTCCAGCTCGAAAAATACCGCCATCTGCGAAGGAGCGCGATAACGAAGATTCTGTTCGAGAATATGCGCGTTCGCACGACTCGATAAGGCTGACCAATCGAGATCTCAGCTAACGAAAATCTCTCTCACGGAGAAGCGTATTATTATTTGCCAGACAGCAATCCCCCATTGGAATCTCTACGATCTATTATCTCTTCATTCCTGTGTCAACATTGTACAGTTGAAAATCACAACTGGCTATCTGGAAAGTTCCAACAGCGAAATTGTGAAAAGTATGCTAAAGACTCACTCCGGTCTGTTCCCTCCATCGTACTCCGCTAGACGAGATAAAAACCTCGGATGCACCCTTCTTCCGTGAAACGAGGGGTTTTCACCTTTTCACTTTTATATGAAACCTTCTTCCTGTCAGTGTCCCGCATTCAAGCGTCATCATTATCTTTACCCTCGCTCCTGACTTGCGACCCACAAAGCATCCCCCTCGTGACCCAACTTCGACTCCCAGGCTTGGGAACCCCTGTCGTAGGTCAATACTCTCTCTCGGCGAGGTTCACCACCACCACCACCTCTACTACTACCAGTACTAGAGGCGAGTCACCGTAGTAGTGAGTCGATTAAATCGATTCCGTGGAAAATGCATCCGCGGTCGGAACGAGAGAGGAAGTAGGAAAGAGGGAGGGGGAGGCGGTGAACAACGCTTTTGTCTCACTAAGCTCTCCTGTCGCCCTGAGCTTGAGCATCGCCTCGCTCGATTCCTCTCATCTTCTCCCGGAGTCTTTGCCGAGATCACTCTCGATGAATATCCGCCGGCGAATGAACTTTCACCTTAACAACCGCGTCATGTTCGTGCCGCGGCACGTGCTCGTTCCGTTTTTAATAATCGAGAAAGATACATGCAATGTTTTCAACTGAGATTCTTTCGCGCAAAGTGTCGTGGGAAAAGAAATGAAACAATGACGACTAGAATTCTCCTTCGACAAGTCGCCCGCTGAGTATGCCGGAGCGGAATCTTCAACGGAGTTTAAATAAATGAGCCATTTTAGCGGTACAATCGTTCCAAACTCTCATAAAAAAAAAAAACGGCACGAAACATCGAACAAGGAAACGATAAATCGTTGATATTCTGGCTAACAAAGGTTTCCCGATTTGTTATTTTTAACGGCACGGTCGCTATACAATACGAGTATATGTATAAATAAATCGAACACGTAAGTCATGCTAATTGCTATAAATGAGACTAAACACGTGAGCGAATGAAGAGTGTGATAAATGATATCTTAACATCTATTTTTAACGTTGAACACTGATACACGATGATATCACCAGTCTAAATTATAATACGTCATACCTGGATTATATCATTAAAAGCAGCGATCTCTATCAAAATATTATTTCTAACGTTTTGTTTCAAGCATAGGTACTCTTCCTTGAGTTTAATTAAAACTATAAAAATAAACGAAACTAACTGAAATTAAAAATAAATGAAGTACGATTAAAAACAGCCGAGTAAATGTTCAAGTATTTCGAAATTTCGTGTTAATGTTATGCAACGTGAGTAAACAGATTTAAATAACGTGTTAGAATGAAGTTTTCCACAAATACATGTGACATGCTATTTCGAGTAAGAAAGGTAACTTTAACTGACAAAAGTATTGAAATGATCGAATACACGGACAAAGAGGGCAAAATTGGTTCATTCGCGTTCTGTCAGCGTCGCATATAATGAATCGAATTGCGACTCGACGGTGGCCCAGATTTATGGCATCGAGCGTTTATTCCCGTACGAACACGCGTTGAATTCTTTATGACCGCCGTGTCGGGAAAGAGAGAAGCACGGGGATGATCGCGGGCGCGTAGCGGTAATCGACGCAAATGACGAGCTCGTGTAATGAAGCCTAAGTTGCCGCAAATAAGACAATAAATCCGTCTTTTCCGCTTCCGCGTCGCGTGCTCTCGTACTCTACGTCCAGCCAGGAAGTTCCGTGCGAAGCAAGCTTTACGAGCGAGGTCGTGCAAATTTGTGACGCGTGGAATTCGCCAAGTACGCCACCTTTACGTCGTTTCGCGCGACGTACTTTCGCGGGTAACCTTCGGAAAATTAACGCTGAAACGACTGACCGAAACGCTCTAGCACTTCAATTGGGATCGATCGTGAAGTCTGATGATGTTTCGTGAACACATCCGATACGTGCTGATCGTAAAAGAATCACGAGAGGTCGAAATAGGTGTATTTACACGTCGCATCGACGAAAAATTTGTTCTTTTTTACAACAAGAAGCGGCTGTGCGATTTCGCGGCGTTTAACGAACGACGAGCTCGATGAGAACGATCAATATGACGAGGGGAATCGGCGCGGTAATTTTGCGATTAATAAAAGGCACTTAGGAGGGCATACACAGTCCGCGTGGATCGAATCGTCGGCGGCCTCATTAATATTAAAACGAGCGGCGAACTCGAGAGGAAGTCGTTCGCTGGAATTTTATGAGTGCACTTATTATGCAGGCGGACCTACATTCGCTTTACTCGAGTAATCTCTGTACTGGGTGAGATCTATGGAGAATCCCTTCAACGCGTCGAAATGACGCGCTTCTTCGGGAAAATCGGAAGAGGAGAAGATGTCGTCTCATCGCGTCCTCTGTGCCCGATGTGATAACATGACATGTGTCCCGTATCCAACGGAAGTGGTTTATCAATTTAGTAATGAATAGCGCCCGAGAGCTTTCCCGACGAAACAGGTCGCGAGCACCGTCGTGTTGCGAAAAAAAGAATGAGGATAGAGAGAATCTGTCATCTTAGTTGAAGAAATAAAGTGACAGGGAAGTAGCGCAAGTGAAAGAGTATAACTCTGTAAAAGCAAGGGATAAAAAATCGAATACGCAGCGCAAGAAAACAAAGATGAGAGGAGCAACTTGTTATCTTAAAACAAGGGGTACGAAGGATTCCCGCTAGTTTGGGGGAGCAGGATCGAATCCGCGATTCAACGAAGCGGCGCGCGGCGGTGGTAACAAATCTACTTTTACGTGATCGGAATTGGTTTAGCGCCGCGGGGAGTGCGCAGAATGCATTCTAGACGGAAAATAGTTCGCTAGACAACCTGACAATACGCCACTTCTTCGACGGCACAATGTGCCGATTGCGCAATTCAACGGTGCGCGTTCAACATACCCGCTCGCCTTTAAGACACGTTAGCAAGTCGTTTGCTCGCACGCACACACACGTGCACATGTCCTCGACCTGGGCGAGAACGGTCCTCGTTAATTAGCGTGCCCTTTCGGAAAGGGCGACGCGAAATTCTACGACGGAGCCGCCTACGTGTAGCTGTCGCCGTCACATGCAATTCCGTTCAATTATCCCGTCGCGTCGTTCCGACGCGGCAATCCACACATAGCACGAGCTTTGTGGTAACGGGTCACTCGCCGGTAAACGCAATTAAATCGACTTTTAATCGCCATAAATTAACTTCTAACTTTTCATTATGCTGGTAAAATTAGTTGCCGTTCTCGAGCCAAGGAATTACCGCCGTAAAAAACGATGGAAAAATATATATTCGCGAGTAACGTGCGCATCGTACGTATTTCATATTTATTATCAATTTATTCGTCAAACCGTTGCAATTAACTGATTGAAATTTAGTTGCAATGCAGAGTCTGTTTCTAATTGAATAAAATGCAGTAGGCCGATACCAATGTACATCATTTTACCTCAATCCCAGAGTATAACTAAAAATATCAAATTGTACGTATAAATTGTAACATATCACGAATTACAATTCCATACGCGCCAGCACACTTGTAAGGCGAGTGATCGCGGCGGCATGTAGCAAGCATAAAAAGCACTCGTCGACGTAAAATGCGCTCGGTGTCGAGCGTAAAAACGTCGCGTTTGTTCCGCCGAGAACAAAGTCGGATTGTGGGCGATAGTAGAAAGAGGGAAAAAGAGAGAGAAAAAATTTATAACTTGTCCGGATATCGGCAGGTTTGAATAGCATGATTGTTCGGGCCGCGGTTAAGTATATACATATATCTCTCTTTCTCTCTCGTGCAAGTAATCGCGTCAGGATATCATCGTTTTTGGCTCACAAAAATGTGTCAGAGCGATTAGCCCTCACGGTCGCGAGAGCTCGTCGACATCCTCTCTCTCTCCTCGACGAGGGGACGAACGCTTCGACGACGCTTTTATCATCGTGCGTGCCCTCGCGCCTCGTTAAAATTGCCCCTCGCTTATTCTTGTCCCCGGCAATTTCTCTTTCTTTCTTTTCCTCTTTTTCGCTGAACGAACCAATCATTCTCGTGACTGATAACTCTCCACGGACGTACTCGGGAGAGCGTTCCGTAACTTTTTCACAATTGTACATGTTTCATGGTTATGGTCCATAGACTTGTCTACACAGCAGTGTGATGTGTATTGACCAAGGGATGCACGGTCAAAGAGATCTCGTTTTTTAATCAAAACATATAACATTCATTTGTTTAAAAATACAATCAATCCAGTATGCGCCATTTTGTTCGACAACCTCTCCCGTAGCTACATGATTCCGCGCGGTCATAGAAAGTGTTGGAATTCTGAGCGAACAACTGATTAGAAAATGGAATCAACCTTTGCACCAAAACCCAATACACAGATGAATCCGATCTCTCCCTCAAATATCGCGTGTCCGATTCTCTCGTTAATCTTCGAAGCTCCCAAGATGGACAGAGCGCGATTGTGCCAGTTTCCAGTCTTTCTCACGATACAAATACGGAACGCGTACACGCGCGGTGAATCAGCGGCGCAGCTATAAGCCGCTTTGCGCTGCGCTAACAGTGTATCTTTCTCCTCTCTCTCTTTCTTCCCCTTTCCTATGCATGACTCACAAATTACGGTGTATTTTTCGATTGTATGCTGACGCACCGAGGGTTAAACCCTCGACTTGGCACCCCTCCCCTGGAGCGAGGCGCCGAATCGCCCCTCGGTCCGAAAGGCGATCGCGAGGGCGGGCCCTACCATTCCTTCGCCATATTTTCTGTTCGCGACAGCGGTTCTCAAGTCGAGTTCATCTTGCGATCTATGCAATTTCGAATTTTAATTCCGTCAAATTCTCACGTTATTCTATATTTGACGGTCTAATTGTTAGAAAAAAAAATCATCACTCACTCTTACACCGACCCCGACAATGACCACGGTCAGATAACATATTGATACAAAAATTCTGCCGGGTACGAGAGACCTTTCGAAACTCTCTGCGTGGGAGTATTCTATCCGTACACATTCTTTTAGTCTACGCTCAGTTTTCAATGGCAAATTTACTATCGGAAGTAAAGCGGACGAGCCGCAAGGTATCCCTAGTCACAAACCCGTAATATCGCAAGATAACCCCGGTATCTCACGGTACACGTGTACCCTTTCTTCGTATCCAATAGTCGCGCTTCTGAAAGAGTTTCGCACAGCCGAGCATATCGTAAAACTAAATATATAGAACACTAATAGTTATGTAACAGTTACGTGTCCTATTACTTGGAATTATAATTTTTTTAACTCTATTATATATGATAATTTTGCCATTTATATGGATGACTCGCTAAAATTTGAACTAATTGACTATTTACCGGCAGAATAAGAGACGATTATCTACGATGATCGTCGATTATGTTAATTGGAATTTGGAGAAAGTTGCTATCCTTGACTATGAGTCAAGATGGGCGGATACAGGCGAGTTGAATATACAACATACCAAAATTAGGACAAGCCGAATGACGGGTAATTACATATCATATGCGGAACCCTAAGTCGCGCTTACCGAGATGGATTCTCCGTTCGCCTTCTCCCCGTCCAGTATCCTCTGTCTCAGGGCGAGCCTGTCCAGGCTGGCGAGCCTATAGCTGCCGCCGGCTTCGCGATCTCTGCTGAGCCGCTCAGCGGTGCCGCCGCCGCCGCCGGCACCGCCGTTTGAACCGGCGTTGAAGCTCGATGTATACTTGGGCAGGGTCGGCGGCGGCACCTGACGCGCCTTCTCGCGGTTCAGCATCGTGCTGCTACTGTACAGGAAGGACGAGTTGTTCTGCAGACCGGCGGTACGACCGGACGGCGAGACGCCCGACGACGCCACCGAGGACGCCGACGACGACGACGAGGACGACTTGATGCCGTTGCTCTGCGCGCCGCCCACGGTCCCGTTCTGCTGGTTCTCCGTCGACATATCTCCGCCGAGGGACGGGAATTTCGGTTCACGACGCGCGATCACGACGACGACAACGACGACGCTCGCTCACACTCTCCTCTGACGCCGGGCGGGGACCGCCACGGATTCGAAAGGGGGCTTGTTCAACCCTTGAACCGAAAGATCGAAGAGGGTGTTTAATACGTTCGCTACCGTTCGTATCGCGCACGTGTACTACTGGACACAGATTTACGGCAGATTCTGGCTTGCAACGGTGTGTACTCTCGAGGTCAAGTTAGTTTTCCGAAATGCGATTTTCTTGCAAAAATTACGCGGCATTCGTTTGTCTACGATTTGTCCATAAAAAAAAATTATTGTTATCCACCTTGTAAAAAAAGTTATAACTGAATAAAACAATTGAACAAATTTGGACATCAGTATTTTGTGTCTTTATAATTTTTCTTGCAGTGTATATATTCGTATTCATACAACAGTTATCGGCTGATCCGAGAAAACGATGTAGACAACAGACAATCGTATAATAAGCGCGAACATCGCGAGACGTCGCGTCAGACCCGAAAATTCCCGGTATATTTGAATCTGGTAAGTGTCAAGGAGTATCTGTTACGCTCGATGTATACGCGCTAGACGCCACCCATTTAATACATGGGTGTCATATATGACGGGTATGTACACGGAACAATCGTTGCGAGCTGTCATAGTCGATTCTCCGAGTAAACTTGGTAGCGGACGTGTTAAACGGAAACACGCGATGTCTCTGAGATTTTTCACAGAAAGAAAGAAAGGAGTTTCCTCCCCCCCCCAAAAAAAATAATAGCAATATGTGTAAAGGTTATTATCGCTAACGCTATAGCAGCACTGCGAAGAAGGTTTGCCTGGCAATAATTATTTCATTGTACAGTTACAGTCACAAATATACAAAACATTTTCCTCTCAGTGTAACCTTCGAAGTGGATGATCTTGCGTCTTTCCCGTGCAAGAAAGAGTCGATCGACTGTCTCGGAAAGAGTCGCAGAGACACCGATATTTCGGTTTAAAGGTGAAAATCGAAGGAAAGCGTGGAGGCTCAACTGCACGAGATGACGAGTGGAAACGTATCGGACGCATCGAAAGTCGATACGCGTGCAGTTTTATTTGTCGCGACGCACACGGCGTCCCGCTCTGTGACGAGTAAACCGGGGGCTCGTCTTACGCACCGCGAAGATAACCCGACGACGACGCAACGACGATGTTCTCGTGCGATCGAAACCGGCGGCGACGTTTCTCTGCGAATCGATCGACGGCGAGCCGACAGCGAACGAATCTAAACACGAGGGGTTAGATGAAAAACGCACTTTCCCCCAAATAATCTTCCTCGATATCGGGGGAGCTTAACGAGAATCGCGGCCTCTACATCGCACCCTTCGCATTTAAATCCCCGTGAGTTTAAATGCTCGCACGAGCGCGCGCGCGCGTTGCGATTGTTTACGACGCGTCCGTCCGTCCGTCCGTCCGTCCGTCGTTGACTCGATCCGATTGCTTCGAGTAAATGATTACGAGTATGCATCGGAGTAAAAGTGATCGCGCGCGGGAGAAAAGCGGACTCCTTCGCTTTCGCCCAACTTCACACCGCCACTGGGCCGCTGGTCGGTGAAGTTGAGAGGAACTCGCTCTGCAAACGCAAAGATCCAACCAGCTACCTTTGACTTTGCACCGCTGTCTTTTCACGCTCTGACTCTGGTTAAACGGAAACATCTCATCGTGACGCGAAACTAATTAAGTCGAATTCCAGTCTATGGACCTATTAATTACATAGAGAGACGGAGGAGAAAAAGTTTGCTGATGCAACGGACCCGGGTCTCTTTGTCTAATAGGACGGTCAATTTACGAAGAAGCATAAAAGAGGGTCGTATTACGTCGTGACTAAGCATACGAAGGTCACTTACGTGAGTTCGGCCAAGTTTGGACTTCGGCGGAAATTATACCGAGACTTATACCTGAATGAGAAGTGTTCCACCAACCAGAGTCACAGATTGCACGACCGCCCGAAAGTTTCTCGTCTTTTCGGAAGCATCGGACAAAGAGCACCTTTGTCTTTACGCGCGGAATCGACTTCCTTGTACCACTACTCCCTGAATTCGTTCTCGAGAAGGCCGAGTCTCGGGCGGACGAACGTTCTCTCGGCCGCGTCGAAGAATCGCCGCGTTGCGACCCGACGAGAACACCCGGCGGCACTCGAGATCTCCGAAAAGTCGAGATGTCTCGTATGTAGTACCTTCGCCGAAGATGCGTGGGTGTACGAGGGTTGCTCTCTTGTGCTCGGAAAAGACAGAGACCGCGAATCAACACGGCGGGAGCGCACACGAGAAAGGGACGCGTCGTGAGCACTGCGTGGGCTCTACCCGGTGCTGGCTGGCGCGCGATGATTCACGCAGTCGGCGAGCCGGCCGAGCGTGGCCGCGTTTTCACTCTCACTTCGCCGTTCATCGTGTGGCGTTGTTCATCGGCGGAGTTCACGCGAGGATTCACGCCGAAGAGGAAGAAGAGACGCGCGCTCTCACGGCAAGCCCGATGTATACTATCCACAGCACAAGCACAACAAACGAAAACGCCCACAGAGAGAGACCTCGAGAACGCACTTGTATTATCGCGACAGGTCGCGACCTCGCAAAAGCAACACGTTCATCCGCGGTAACGCGCGACGCACACTCACCGTGCACCCGACTCGAATATACTAGACGACGACCACGCCTGACGCAGCTGCCGCGAAGGGGAGAGGGCGAGCGGAGGAGACTTCGTGCGCCGCCGGCAGAGCTCGTGTAGCCGCCAATCATGACCGACGACGCGAGCGCCGCCGGCCAATCCACGCGTCCGGCGCTAGCGTCCAGCACGCGCCGCGAAGCCGGCTGGTATCGAGCGTCGATACTGCAGCGCCGCGCCGGTCCCTCGGGAAGGGCTTTGAACAAGCGAGCGAGTACGCTACTTTTGCTTTCGTTTGCACGTTGCTGCAAGCGCGATTTCGCGGATGAGAGCTTCTTCTTCTCTCTCTCTCTTTCTCTCGAACACAAATTGTGAGCAGCGATAGAGCAAAAATCTCTTCCTAAATTATATATGTATTAGCATCGAGAGAAAAAAATCGGATTATTCTCAATAAAATCGTAGTCATTTTCAGCGCCAGCTAATTGTTTTGTCGTTGTAACAAAACAGCGTAATAGAAATATACATATGAAGCTGTTATCGCTAACATATTACGAATATATAGCAGCACCTTTTATAGAAATAGCATTTCCGACTATGATTATCTCATTACGTAATTATAGAGTCACAAATACTCAACATTTTCTTTCGGTGCTCAAGTATTCAAGAATATATAACCGGCAAAAGATAGTATTTGTGCGACGTAAACGCCGCTTTATTTATCTTTCAATGCGATCACCATCGAAAATCCGTGGGTAACTACCACGAGATTACAGGGTAAAAAGTTGGATCTTATCAATCTTCGTCATTCTGGTGTCAACGAGCACGATGCGTAGAAAACACTTGGCATGTTGTACGCACGCACGCACGCATGCAGACTGGACGATGGATATTTTCAAACGGCGATTGGCTTTAAGTGATTCGAGCACGCACACGCGATCTCGATTTCACGATGTCAACGCTCTCGCATTGTCTTGCCGATCGTTGCGCTTGTTATTCTAGCGTCGCGTCCACTAGGAAGTACACCCAGCGGAATACTCGGAGTGTCGTTGCGACCTTAATTGGACGTTGAGTTAATAAGAGCACCGACGTTGAACTGTCGACCATGCGTGCCTGTGTGCACACGTACTACTACTACCACGTGCGTACACGTCCGAAAGAATGAAATAAGGAAAAAAACAATGGTTTCGTGAAGTGGAATGCGCTTCACGACATTATTGCCGTCCGTGTGAGCGACAGCTCGGGTATTCTTACACCCGGATACCCAAACTCGTGGGTGTTACCCAGGTATTCGAAATCGACACAATGTGCGAAGAATCGGACAATCGTGGATTTCCTTTTTCGGAGCAATTCCTTCGCCGAAACGTTCAAAATGATCGCAAGATTACCTGCTCGGTCGGCTCGTTATTGCTGTTCTTCTTCATGCCGTTGTATCTAGCGAGGACATTCGGATGTAGGCGACGCCTTGTCGTCGCCGTTGGCGTATTCGTTGTCGACATCGTTTATCACTCTTTCGAGTTTAATTGCAAATACACTGACACACGTATCTTTCGCGACAATGCTTCGTAGTACACGGCACGACGTGTCGGTATCTTGCAGATGCGATGTGAACACGATGAGGAACGCGCGCAGAACAGCGCGAATATCGGAGCGACCGCAATTTCCTCCGCTATATTCGACCGTATTATTCACTTTAACGGTAAAACACACATCCGATAACGAATCGGTTGATAGATCCACACTGCGACTGGGAGCGTTATCTTCTCTCGCAGCTTAAATCTGCTGCTTCGGAAACCGGAATGACGTTCTGTGGTTTTGGAAGCGGAGCGATAAGTGTCACACGCACGCACACACGATACTGCTGCGTGTCGTTCAATGTGAAATCAGAACTTCGTGAGACAGGGAAAGAACTCGGCTGAAAATATTCCTCCGTATCGACGAGAAATTCGATCGCGAATTACGTCGTAAGCAAGACGTATGTTCACTCGATCGTACTGGTTTCATTGACGTCGAGCGATGACAGGTGTGACTGATCACCGGACATTTGGCCGACACTCGCTGTGTTTGCTTTCAGCGTTCACATAACGAAACCAAGTTTATTAAACAACAATGCGCATTCGGTATATATGCGTGTCATTTTCGTCCCGGTTTAAGTAGGGGACATCGTTATCAACTTCCAACTTGGTAATAACAAATCACACGGCAGTCTCACAGTAATACGAAGCCAATGGAGAAAAAAAAAATGACGGAAATTCACGATTCAGACGTTCATTCAGATTCGATCGATTCGCGAGACGCGCGCACCTGCAGGCTTTCGCCGTGCGAACCGAAATGCGCGCGAGGTATTAATATTACGAACACGAAGGCAGACTTCCATGCTATTCGAACGACGATCGGAATGCGACTAGCCTTATCAGAGAGAGGCAGAGAGAGGGAGAGAGAGAGACTCACCGCTGCCGTGATGTCCGAAATGACCGTGACGGCGATGACGTCGCCGACGTCGTTGTTGTAGTCATCATCGTCAACCGGGCAGGCCATGCGGTCGTCCAGCATCCGTACAGCACCGGAAACAGATCAAGGAGGTTGATGGGGGAGGGAGGTTGCGGGGTAAAGGGTTAGCACCGTGATAAGAACGATAAGGAGTAAGGATAGTCCGGAAGGAAAGGAGAACAAGAAATGATATATTAGAACGATGTTTCCACATAAATATCTATACTTTTCAAATTTCTCCGAGTGATTTTCCACTCGAAAAGCGGATTGACAGGCGAGTCACTCGAACGAATGAGCTTTCACTCATGTAGAAAGAATTTTCCATTCTGAATCGTCGAGTGTGAATATTTTCATTCGAAATTAAAGAATGTACTTGAAAGCTCATGACATCGTAATCAATTGAAACATTCTTTTCTACAGATTAAGAATTCTTTTCCAGTTTGAGTCAAACGTCCACTCTTATCATTTCGAATGACGGTATTTTCACCGTCCCTTCGAATGGATTTTCACTCTAAGAAATTTAAATGGTATTTCCTAGCATATTATTACGATTACTTTTCATCGTCGTTAAAACTGGTTGCTCGAAAAAAATCGTTGATTTATTTCGATTCGATAATTTAGAAATACAACTGTAAAATCTGTCTCGTTGTATTACATTATTCCATATCTTTTCTGTGCGCCTGTGCTATTAAATTAACGTAGGATAATAATTCTCATTAGTTGTTAATTGCCTTCAGCAACGTAATTTGCGTATCGCGGCAGCAAAGTAATCACCGTAGCCGCGCCGTGGGAGCTCCCTCGAGATTTTTCGGATCAATAATAATGCCTCAGAGCTCGTTCGCGGTTTATTTTCTTAAAGAAAAACCAGACCGCGTGGCAATAAACCACGTCCGGATGAGAGAATTCTTCGGAATCGCTCGAGAGAGAAATATATTTTCATTGTAACCGTCCAATCAAGATGAAAGTTATTCTTTCGGATAGAGTAAGGAAGACAACGCTAAGCTTCTTACGTGTGTCGTGCAAAGCGACCGTCTCCATCCTGATCACCACCAACGGCCTTTTATCCTTACGGTGTTATGGTCGGATTCTTTCACGGTGGATCACGCGAGATCGTGTGAGTGTAACACCGGAATACCCGCTGACGATGACGGATTTTCCGAAAAAATAGCGAGATTCCTGGATTTGAAATAACGCGCGCGATACAGCGTGCCGCAGATGGCAACTACGACGAATACGTCGGATGGTATATCGGGAGAGATTTAAATGGCGAGACACGAGCGATTTAAATGCGTCCCATAAATGCTTAATATTTAATCGTCGCGAATCGATCGCGCGACCTGAGACATGATCTCGAAATAATCATCGGGGTCGTTGAAGATGTTCACGAGCAGAGGAATTTGTTTGAGCACTTTACGGATTTACGAGTCTAAATATTGAATGATCCATCCGCCCGAGAAACTGGGAACATTCATCCGTCGAAGAATCCATGAAGGATATAAGAATTGATGGATCCGTATTAACTCATTTCAAGTCAGGCTTGAATAGATTTGCGAATTTTTGCAGATCATCGCGCAGAGAAAAACACGATCTCCTTCGCGGCATTCTTACGCCGCGGATTTCGGTGAAAAACACAAAAAACGGAAACGCAAGTAACACACCAAAGAGAAAATAGAGATAGAGAGTACTTTCTCGGTCTGATACGGAAGAACGAGATATATACGAACGATCGCGTGTTCGCGTGTCGGATTCGCGATTCCAACTAAAGGCACGTCGTGCGATTCGCTTCTTTCACGTGCGGGACGAAGAAGCGTTCCGCTATCTTTGCCTATTGCTCTTCCTTCCACTACCGCTCTATTATTTCCCTCCTCTCTTGTCGTCTCCCTCCCAGAATTGATTGAGAGAATTGATTCTTTAACCCGACAATTCAATTCGCGTCCATTTGGACACGTCTTTCTTTTTTTCTTTTATCCGAGGAACGAGCAACTTTCGTTATTACAATTTGAAAAATATATCCACCATAACGAATTTACACAGAAAGTTTCGATTTGCTCATAAGGTTTATTAGTGAAAATTGATACGCGTTTAGACGCGAATATATACATATATTCATATTACATATTCGTTGTTCGCTCAATATATACCCATCTTTAAATGTGTATACTGTTTACTTTTCTGTCAGAGCAATATTATACGGCGACCGAAGGTCATTATAAATTTCAGTGAAATAACATTTTTCCCTCGTAGTATAAAATACACCGAGAGAATCGATTAAAATCACATTAAATTTACATTAGGCCGTAAAGTGGCTTCGGTATTTTAACGCGCTCACGTCAGACCTCGGTCCCTATCGACACCGATTGGGAGCAGGCGTCCATGAAAATGCCAGCACCTTATCTATGCACAGGGCCGCCGCGTACAACAAGCAATGACTACTACGTAATCTTATCTATGCGAAAAACTAATTGTGCGACAGAACGCATAAATAACGCGTGCAACCACTCCTCCGCATGCACTGGCCGCCTCGCAAATACGAAACTTCGTATAGCGGCAACATAAACACCGAGAATTATAATTGATTATGCACGTATGTGTGTATATATGCGCATGACAGAACACATTAAATCAGAACTCGCAATTGAGCAATCCTTATCTTTAATTCGCGTCACTGCCGGATCTGTCGGAAAAGAGACGAAAATGAGAAAAGAAAAACGTTGATGAGATCTAATTAACGGCGTCGATGCGTTAAACGATTAAATTGGTAGGTTAGGTCGGCCGCCGGAGTATCGACCGGGCGCGCCGTATTGACGACGAAATTCGGCGGCTCCAAAATGGTCGCGCGGTCAGGTCATCCCGGTGTAGTCAGGTGAGAGGCGGAAGACGCTCGTCGGGGACGCTCCCCGGCAAACAAACGCGCACACAAAATACTTCCTCGCGCTTACCACTTCGCTGCATCTTTCCACCGGGGCGTCACAGCGGCTCATCGGTCATAATCCTCTGCTGCGATGGTCGACGCGGAAGTCTGGGCGGCTATCGTCGACTGCTTTCGCATGCCACTCGCGAGATGCATTCGATAGAACGCGACACAACGCGATATCCGACGCGCAACAGCCAGCCAGTCTGCCAGCGATCGGGACAAGCGTGACGCCGTGCGACCGCACTTTTCAAATATCGCGTTGCCCGAAACAACGAGTCGAGACGCGCATGTCGACGCATGCGTGCGAAGAGAGAGTATCACCGCGCCTCGTCCATGAATGCACTAGAATGGCGGACGTCGAGAAGCGTCGGGTTCGCCCGACCGAAAGTACCCAATCAGTGTAGTCGCAACACGAGTTGAACGAAGTCGAACGAGGGGGGATTCGAATTTTCGCAAAAATAGCATGTTAACAAGTATGTTTGCCTTAGTTTTACTTTTCTGCGCGTTTCTAAGCCATTTTATTTGACTATGATTACGTTGAAGTCCATGTCAGACTACGGATTGAAGATTAAAATTAAATTGAAATTTGACCAATCAGTGCAAAGTTCACTAAATTTCACTAAACTTGAATTCAGTTAACTTTGTACTGATTGGCCAAATTCAATTCAATCTTGATCCCCGATCCGTAGTCTGATACGGACTTTAGCGTTTGCATGCTCCGGGAACATCTTATAGCGCGCGAAACAACATTATAAGTCTGTTCGTTTTCGCTGCTCCACTGAACTAGTGCAGTAAGTTGAAGCGAGACTAGTATATGTTTTCTCACTTCAACTTATTGCACTAGTTCAGCGGTGCAACGAAAACGAACAGACCTTATATCTATTCATGTTGCTTGCACTCTTTGCACTTTTCGCACTTGGCATAAGACGAACGGATATTTTGACTGTGGAAAACGCAAAAGTGAAGAGGTTGAGTCCGAAAAGTAACACGAAGTAACACGAAAGAAACTAATTATAACATCGTCCCCGAATTCACGTGAACCAACTCGAAGAAGAGAAGCTTTAAACTGTAATTCAATCGACCAATGATAGTCGAGAATATCATGCGATTGGCAAGGTTTGGAAGTCTCGATTGGCCAATTTGCTTACTATTTGTGTTTTTTTTCTCGGTCGATTTAATATATACAACATTTAATAAATGCAATTATTGTATCACTTATTTTATATAAAATATTCATATGCATATACAACATTTTACTTTGCGTATCTATCAAACTAATCTCTACAGCGATGTCGAATTTCTGTGAATTTATCACGTAATTTGGTACGATATTTTAAAGTTACACAGTGAATTATTCGGGTAATTCAAACTACATATATATTCACATACCACACCACAGTAAGTATAAATATATAAATTAATGCAAGACATATGAAAATAGAACAATTATGATCTGATTGTTATTGAAACATACATATTTCATTTAAGGTTATGGGAAGAATTTGTTGCATCTCAGGATGTACCTCGGGAAGAGATGCACCTTCTCATCAGATACCCAAGAATCCAGAGCTCTTCAAAAAATGGAAGAGTATGATTTATTCTGAGAAAATTCAACACCTGACCGATGAGCAGATAAGCAAGTGCGTTGTTTGTTATCGTCATTTTGCAAATGAGGATTATTTAGTAACTTACAAAGTGAGAAAGCTGAAACGTGGTGTTCCACCTTCCTTAAATTTGCCAAACAGACCGATTCAGAGAGAATTAATATCAGAATCAGATACAAACGTAAATATATCTACTGAGATAACATCAACAATAAAAACAGAAGAAACATTTGTGCCTGGATTATTTGAGGATCTTCCAGAAACATTGGAACCTCCTTTGCTTAAACAACCATCAACTCTTCAAGTAATCTCTGAAGTGGACCAACAATTAGACATGAGTATGAATCAAACCAGTTTGACAGTATACAAAACAAGTCATAGAAGCAGAATAATGACAAGAAAACAAACAAGATTAACAGAAAAGCAATTGATATTGCTCAAATGTAAAAAACAAGCCGAAATTTATACAAAAACACCTACGATACAAAAGCTCTTATCTTCTTTAACAGCCACTAAAAAATCATTTCTTCAAAATAATATACGAAGGTCAAAATATTTCCCTAGAACATACATAAAACTGTATCACGATATCGCTAAGGCGAAGGCTCTCGGACAATTGTAAAATATATTAATTTTATATTATTCTAAAAAGGAGACGAAGGTTTGTCAAGGCACCGAGGATCTATTTAGATTGCGGCCCGATTCCCATTTCCAACGCTATAAATATGAATCGGACTGCAGCCTTAGTCTTCTATATTCAAAGTGACATGAGAGACATCCGAGTTGTTCAATGTATTATAATGCAAATTGCGATTCTAATAGAAACTGACGTGGAATTCTGTGTATAATAGTTTTTATATGCTGGGACAATATAACTTTACAATAATAATATGTAATATAGCATAAACAAAGACTCTTTGTCACGATGTTTGCGAAATTCTTCTTATCGAAAACATTGGAGGAATAAAATGATCGTTTGCAGCGCAAATCGATCGATACAACGGTGGTTTTACTGTATTTTTAAAAACGAATACATGAAATATACATTTATAATTTTTATATAATTGGTAGAAGGATTAATTATTTCTGGAATAAATCTCTAGATACTATCTTATCGTTAACGACGTCGCAGAGAGTATAGCATATCCTTTTTGAACACATAATCTTGAGGAGTGGGAGGGGGAGAGGTCCTGTTGAGCACTTTTACTCGCCGGTTGACTCTTCTATGCACGGAGAGAATCTCTATGATAATAATCAGTTGACTGATCCGATGTAACCGGAAACCGGGCGAACTAAAAGCGACTTGTTCGATTAAGAGAGGATACGAATCTGAGGTTTGGCGGATATAAACCCTTCTCAAGGGAAAATGAGGGTATCATCGATAACGTTGTGATAACACAGTATTTTCGTGCGTGACACATACACACACATACACACCCAATAGGTCATCTAACAAATTACGTTGAAAAATATTCTCATCGAGAGTCATTTATACATTTATTAATCTCTATACATTTTCTCAATTTATTACTTTAAATGTGCTGGGTGGCTTTCTACCTTTTACACACGTACTTTGTCTATCTCCCCTCCTCCTCTTCTACATTCACTAATTACGCGGTAAAATTTAAGATGTGTTCTATAACTGTTAATTCTTAATGCTGGTATTTCCTTGAAATCAGGATATATTTTCACTCAGTCGCATAATCGAGTACGAAAAAAAGCGTTAATAACGGACGCGTCGCTGGAGATCCCAGCTTTCGACTTTCATAAAAATTGTCGCTCTTCTCCCAATTCGGCCGATATTTCGAGATAATCGCGCACTATGAGTGAAAAATATTGATTTTAGCGCACAAAATTATTAGGAGACCGTTCTTTTTTCTGCAATTTTTTCAACTGAAAAATTGTAGTACAACAACGGTAACGAGGACATTTTTGAGAATCCGCAAGAACGGGTCTCACGGGATTTACGCGCATAAAAGGTGTTCTAAAAGGAAAATGCGGGTACAAACGGAATATCATGGTATATCATAACGACACGTTTAAGGCCGATACGGGAGCATAAAGTTGTTTCTTCTTAAACCTCTTTCTTTTGCACCTTATCATATATATATATATATATATATAAATAACGAGAATATGAATACAATAATAATAATAACAAAGTTATCTCGAAAACGAAAGTATTCCTTTCGATTCAGCTTACAACCTTTTTCTTGAAGACGAAGTTCGATTAGTTGGTAAATTGACGACAAATAAAGATTCCTGAACCGTCTATGTGCCTAAACGCATCTCTGCATAGTACGGGGAATAGTTTGTGCGTCGATATGTGTTATAAACTCCACGATAGATACGCGAATAATGTGTCTCAATGAATGCGCGTTTGGACGAAGAACGCGTTATCCATCAGAAACAGGAACATATGTCGTCGATTCGACCGTGTGATTACTTATTGTGTTACCATTAACGTTACGATTTTTAATCGTACATATTCGATAGAATAAATGTCTCGATATTTTTTTCTTTTTAATGAATTGTACACTATATTCATATTCAATAAAAAAATTTTTTAGTAACTTTCAGATTATAGAATTTCCTATTGAATATAAGATGCATTCTGAAGTTTACATGTACGAATATGTTCAGGCGCAGTACATACGATTGAAAATCGTAGCCACTATGGCTTGTAATAATACTAGCATCTACCGCCAATACTAGCCGATATATAATAATCGTCATGAGACAATTCTCGTCCAAATGCACGTCCATCCGCACGAAATGTGTGAGGTGTGCGTTACACATTTATCTTGATAATTGTGTAAATGATTGTCCGTGATTGTCTGTGGTTTGTGAATAATCACACTTCGTTCTTATCTTTCTCTTTCCTCTTTTTTTTTCTTTTTTCTTTAGTTTCCAAATTTCCAAGATACGCGAGAAAGATGAGAGCGGATCCGTTGAGCGGATCGCGATGCTTCGATATATTCTCTCTAGGGCAAGATTTATTTTACTTTCTTTCCAAATATACCGGGGTTGTGTGTTCATGTATATGCGTGCATGCGCACGTATGTGTGTATATGTGTGCTTAACGTTAAGGACACTTAACTTCGCATAATCTTACGTCATTAGAATTAGAATATTAACCACACGAACGATTTTTTTTTCATTTTTTTCGAGAGTTGTAGATATGACGATCCGCAAACCGAGATCGATGTAACTTCGGCGAGTTCGACTCACGACGCTGTAGATGGGCGGAGAAGGGTGGAAGTGCTTCGTTGGACGAAAAACAGGAAATATCGCGTGAATCTCGCGGATTGTTTTTGCATTCTGAAATACGGTCATTTAAACGGACATATTCATGGTCGACCTCCACCATGGAAAGAACCTCTTAATTTTCTTTGAAAATAAATTTAGTCAAATCAATCGTAAAAGTCTTCTTTGCTCTTCGAAATCTAACTTTCATGCGTCCGACATTTTCATCCTTCGTGACAGAGAAAAAAAATTCATCTTACGCCTCCTCTTATTGGCACTTTTATCATCACACACGAACACAAAGATCATTCTCTTTGTGTTGTCCTCGGTTGCGAAAATTCGCATTTTCCGAAATTTTATACCGGGCGTCTCTGATGTACACTGAGCATCAATGCTCAACTACTTACTGGATTTAGTATCATTAAAAATTATTACATTTAATTACACAAATTGTGTACATATCTTCAATTTGCATAATAAAATGCGCGTAATGCTAATACTTGGTTTTTTTCTCGATTTTTTTGGAAATATTGCAGAGCATTATCTATGCTTAGTGTATATCCTTTTTTCCTTCCTTCCTTCTCTTTCCGCGCACTATATCGCATCGTCGGAAATCTCTTCTCGTCGAAATCGTACCGGTTTCAGTCATTGTGTTCATCGTTAGACATCGCGACGGTTACGCGAATGCACACTTAGCTAAACACTCTTTTATATACGTACAAATATGGCTCACCACATAATTAACAAGACGCAATCCCTTCTCGTAATCGAAAGGAACATTCAAATTTCGTGTCGCCTTCTCCTAGGCTACCGCCTGATTCTATTGAATTTATTCAGTTATGACGTGACTCGTAAATTGAGAAGAAGGTAAAATCACAATCTGAGTGTGCGTGTATGTGTGTGTGTGCGTATGTGTACGTAGAGCAAATCGAGGAAATCACATCAAAGAAGTAAATAGAGATCACGATATGAGGCAGGTTAAGATTCTTATTGCTAATATTTCGCACATCTCGACCTATACGCTTTTTTCTTGCATGACTATGTGTTGTTGTTATTGTTATGATGGTGTTGTGGTGGTGCTCCGCATCGCAGACGCGTGTCTCCGTGTCCGTCGCGGATCGTATAAACATTCCGCACTTTGTACTCGTGAATCTCATACCGTTGCTTTTGTACAATCCGAAAATTCTATCTCGCGTCGAAAATATGGCCATTATATTAAATCTTATTTGAAACTCGGATCTTTATACGCGTATTGATCTGTACGACCGAAGATTGCATTATTTGAATCTCGAGATAGTCGAAACGACTTCGTGCGGAATATATGTCAAGTATACCGATTCTAATATGGTATGTGTGTAACAAGTGAATTATAGTGAATGATATGTCATGTTGACACATAAATTATTCTTTTCAACTTTTACCTAAATATTGATTATGATAAACAGATTAATAATTAAATCAATCTCTGTATAAAAAGTGTTCTATAAATCGATCAGTTTTTGTTCGAAGAGCTTTCATATGTTCGAAAGAGTATGTTCACACAAAGCATTCTTTTCCGTTAGCTCTTCGATTCAAGCCTAACGTTACTTTCCCAACGGCTTAATCTTTCCGACTGTAATTAATGGTCTTTCTTGTCAATTATAAGTAATAATTAATATATTCATAACAGGATAAACTTGGCGTATAGTGTAATGTGCGTAATAACGCGAACACGCGTGTATATATGCACGTATTGGGTCAGTCAGAAAGTTCTCTTTAATGCTTCAGTCAAGTTTGACTTTATTGTATTCAAGGCAAACAAATCGTTCTTCAGTCAAACAATCGTCATCGTTGTCAACGATCCTTCGTTCCAATATTTCAACGGTATTCGCATATTTTTGTTGTGGAAAGCTATTTAATTGAAGGAGGCATCGAGAATCGCACTTTTTGACAAACCCAATATATTATTTATATCTATTTGTCGTGTTTTATCACTGTCGTACGATCACTTCAAAAAGCTGTCAGAGATCACTGCAGACAATGTCAAAATTCATTTGTCTTTGATCAAGCAAGATACAAGATGGATGCAAACCCATTAGCTCAGTTGCAAGAAGATGTCGGGGATGTACAGATTAATGCAGACCCACAAATGCCTCAGTTGCTGCAAGAAAATGCTGATGATGTACAGATAGATGTGAACCCAGCGGTAGTTCAGCTGCAAGAAGATGCTGAGGATGTACAGATAGATGTGAACCCAGCGGTAGTTCAGTTGCAAGATGATAATGAGGAATACCTCACTGACAGGTCACAAATAATTACAGAGTATCAAAGAGAATTCAGTGTAATCTACAGCCGAATAATTCGTTTCCCGCCTGGATTAGACTGGTAAGTTTTAACGTCTGTTTTGTGCGTATATGTATGTGTGTACGTGTACATGTATGTGTGGGTGCGTTCGTGTCTTATCGCGCTTGATAATACCGTTTGAGTTAAAAAAGCTACCTTAAGACTTAATGATTGTTTAGTGCGACAATTGACAACTTACGGCAAGCTCGACTCGTGTACACTAAGCTTCAATAAAGCCTTAGGTGCTCACCAGGCCAAAATTCACTAATCTTTCCAATCGTTCACTTCATGTCTGGATATGCATGAAATATATTATGACTATCGGTTTTATTCAACTAATCTCTCCTTTTGACAACTTGACATATATTATATCATATCATATATTATATTCACACACGCATTGTTTGGAAAGACCAGTATGTTTTGACGTAGTAAGTATCAAGATTTTACTGTAACTTAGCGTACTCGCATGTATAGCCGCCGTTATAGATTATTATATAGACAAATATATATGTATATATCGACGAGAAAAATATTCTTTTGTTCGTACGTGACTAAGAGAAAGATATTACTTTGTCATATACATGCATGAGGTGCTTTCGCATACAGGATGTATCAGAAGTTGCATCGCGTTCTCTTCAATTGTTACGTACTCGTTGAAAATACTCGAGAAATCAGACTTGGTATATTTTTTTTTTTGGACATGCACATTCAATGCTATGCATATCGATTCTCGATTCTAAATATACTAATGTCGCAAATAACCGGCACGATTAACGTATTAATTAATAAACCATCTCTCGCGCGCCGTAAGTGATGATAATATCATATCGTATAGCCGATTGACGTGGTACCGAAATATCGATATGCTTAACGGCGCGCGCACCGATATTCCGGTGTTAATAGTTAATGTAACGTAACGTTCGATTTGCGGTTTATTCGTGATACGTACGCGTCGGCAATTTCTGACACACACCCGATAATCCCCGTAACACCCCGACGTATGTAACGCGCTCGTTACCTCGCAAACCGCGCCCCTGCGAACCATCGCCCACATGAGAGCGATGCGAGGGATAATACGTGTGTAGAGGAGATACGAATATTAACTCGGCGACGTGCGTAGGCGGGGAGGGGAGAGTCCCTCCGGATTAATTTGTGGTCATCGATTTTGCGACCTTGCCTTGCGAACGCGAAGAATATCCCTATTGTATATGCATTAGGTCGGATCAAACGGCCGGATAATCCGCGGAGAGCTGCTTTCTCCTCCTTTCTTTCCTTCCCACTATCTATTTATCTCTATTTTTCCGCGACCAACTCGCAACCCCGAAGCCGAAAATCGGATCGTCACGAGGTTCCGTGTTCATCGGAGATCCTGCGATCGCCTATTAATGAGAGATCGTTCGTCTCGTTAGCCGGGAATATCCATCCTTGATTGTGCCATCCTTGAAAGTCTCTTGCTCGTTACTCCCTGTTTCTGCACGATTGACCGAACGCGCGAGTGGATCGGTGCTCGCTGGTCAGCTCCACAACCATCACGATCTTGTCCGACCTTTGTTCAATTATTGGCACTTTACGCTTCGGATTGTCTGTTGAAGAACTGGTACTGCAACACCGGGAAAAAAGAGAGACGCTTCCTTTACGTATTGCTATTATGCGAGCGAGAGAAAGAAAGAGAGAGAGAGAGAGAGAAATTTTCACGCGACAAAGAGGAACCGTAAAGACGAACGATCGGTCTTGGAAACGCGGAAGTGACGGAAAGGTCTTTCTGTTTGAGTTTGGGAAACTTTGACAATTTCTAAAAACCGGAAGGCTCAGAAATTCAAATTCACTCGATCAGAAATTCAAATTCACACTCTTCGTGAATCCAAAAAAATACCCATGTGTTCTCATCCCCTCCCCCCTGTGATGTCCACTTAGGAAACCGATTCATCCATTATCTAATGTGTAATCGAGTGATCTTAGAAAGAGGACGTCGCTCCAAAATTTTTCAATTTTCCGATAACTTCGGCGAACCGACTAAAGTTTTCGATTCGCCCTCGATTGCCCTTCACTCGTCTAATGAGAATTTGATCGCGTTTGACTTATTTATGAGAACGGCACGCGTAACGAGGGCGCGTGTCGCTCTCGACATTCTCGGAATGAAATCCTCTCTAAAATTATCACGTTCGATATAGTCGTCGAGATTGCCAATAAAGAGACTGTCGCGCGTATATATACCCCTCCGAATCGATCCGAGCCGAGAAGAGAACTTCGATCGGGACAAGGTGCACAGGGAATGACTAGACGATGAGAGAGTCGACGCGAACCGCGGTCGGAGAGACGGCTGGACGACTTAACTCTTAGTGAAGTATCCTTACATTGTAACGGAGGGTCAGTGGGAACGCTGTCCCGGTAGCTGGAGTGATGGAGAGAGTGTTGGTGGTGGTGGTGGTCCGTTCAGGTTCAGGCAGATGGGGGGTAGTTGTCTTACCATGCTGGAGCCAACCTGCTGCAGTAGCCCGATGCCTTGCTGCGACGACGTCGAGGACACGGACGGCCGCCTCGACCCGCGAATACTGTTCAGGCTCGAGCTGAGCAGGTGCGGCACACTGCTACTCGTGATCGGCATTCCGCCTCCCTGCGCATGGAAAAAAAAAGTTTGAACGACAAAATGTCTCGATACGTTGTGCGATGCGTCTCGATGCGAGATATGTATAATTGAGATCGATTATAACGTGACTCTTCCGTCGCTGCTCTGAATAGCGTTTTACCGCCGCGATGATATTATTGACGTTTCGTGAGACAACAACAGATTCGAAATATAATTGGTTCGTTATATTTCGCGCGCATATTGAGACGTCGATATACGCTTCGCGCGATGAAAGGGTGTCGAACAACGGGGAATTATACGTTGATTAACGACGGTTTATTAACGGGGATATATTCGTGAAACAGCGTTTTCTTTTTTTTTCCGTGACAGCAGCCTTGCGCAATTTTTGATTGAACTTCTGTCGGACTTGATTGGCACAATTATTTCGGTTCGAGGTAATTGTTATATATCTTTTTAATGAAGAAAATTGTCATATTTTGAATTGTCATGGGAGAAATAAGAAAAAAATAGAATTGAAGAGACGATTGGAATGTCCGTGTGTGTAGCGCGAATCGGAAATTCTGGCCCGCGTGCACCTACCTATGTTAATATCTCCCTCGCGCGACGATCAATTAGCGGCAGCGATTTATTTCTGCTTTACGCCACCGCCATTGCCGCGTAATCAATAGAAGGGATTCGTTTCTATAGTAGGCGGCTGCAAGTTTTCCAATTGTTCCGAATTCGTAGTAATAATGTCAGTGGGTTATATTAGTTTGAACTTTTCAGGTGATTCGGTATGTCGAGAAAGAGAGAGAGAGAGAGCACAATCGAATTCGCCAAGTGTTCAATTTTCACGGAGATCGGCGATTTATCCTCGCCGCAATTCCCATTTCCGCGTTTTATCTCGTCCGCGCTATTCTCTCGATTCTCGGTCCATTCGCGAACTTCGACGATCGTACATTTCTCCTTAAGTAAATTTTCCACTCGGAAAATAGTACGACTCGTTTCAAAAGAGATTTCACTGGGAAAAAAAGAAAAAATTCAGGGGTACACTACTCGCGTATTGCCGTTGTCTCTCGTCAACTGAATTCGAAGTAATTAGGCGCGGTCGGAGGATAATACGCGTAACATTATGTACCGTGGGCGGTGATAAATTGATATTCGAGCCTCGTCGTTCCTGCGGACCGATGCTGGAATGCCGACGGATCGGCAAACCACCGCCGGGTGTTCCGCCCGGCGAGCTCGCACAAGACGGTGCTACCCGTATCTTCGGCGTCATCAGAGTGTTGTCCGAGAGACGTCTGCTCGTGATCGTGTTTGCGACTCTCAGGAAATTGCTATCGTTGCCGGACGAGCTGAACCATCCACCGAACATCACTGCGACATCAACGCGCATCGTTAGTTGACCGTTAGTAGCACCATCCTTTAGTGTCGCGAAATTTTCTCGGGGAAAATTCTTTCTCCCCGCGAAAGAGACTTACCGGCCATTGAATTCTTTCGCGCCATATTTTCCGCGGACGCCGTTGATATGGACCCTAAGCGAGGAAACGTTACTTTAGCGCTATAGTAAATTCGGATTACCTTTGCCTGCGCCTTGTGGGCCCGTAGTTCCCATAAACATTAATTACAGTTAATGGACTCGCTGTCCGTCTCCCACTAATTCTGTCTAAAAGGGTCGGCGGATTTATCGAACCTCCGTTCATCCTAAACTAGTATTTATGGGAACTAAAGTGTCCACCGCGTGAAAAAAAGAAGCGTCGTATTTTTATCCGATGCACGTGAATTTTAACAAAGAGAAATGTCGCGAAGAGAGATTAAAATGTACAAGGAGACTTCCCCAAGGGATCAATGAGTCGCGAAAAAGTTGGCGAAATTTTTCTTTCCCAACTCGACGTAGGAAACGTACTCTCGAAATTACTTGCGCGTAAAATTTCACTCGAAAAAGTCAAGTGACAGCCAAGTCGCTCCAATTCTTTGTACGAGTGACTTTTCACTCGTACAAAGCGAATTCTTCCATTCTGGATCATCGAATCTTTCCAGTACGAAATTGAAGAATAAACTCTTACGATTGCGATTATTCTCACTACCGCCTCTGTCGAATGAATTTTCACTCGTTTTCAGTAAGATATCATCGAGGACGAGATTAAAAAGAAACGCTAAATATTCTCTCAATGTTCGCACCGATACTATTCTTCCTGGCCATGTCCTCGGCCGACGAGGTTTTGCGTTGCTCGATGCGCAAATTCGGGATGTTGAACGGTGGCACGTGCACATTATCGGTGCTGTACTGATGCCGCAGAGGTCGATACTTGTCCGGGCTCGGTAGCGAAAGATTGTCGAGCGTTAATTTATTCCTCTGATTCCTACAATTAACAATGGACGCACGAAGATGAGAAAACTCGCCGAGCGTGATCTTTGAATGACGCTCTCTGTTATACTACTTTTATCGTAAGTCGTCGATCGGTTAATGCAAATCGCACTTGCTTTTCGATGTTGTACAGCATATCCTGCAGCACCTCGAGCAACAATATGAATTGCTCAAGATTCAACGCCGGGTTCACGGTTTGCGGTAGTAGCGACGGCATCGCATGCACCGCCATCCAGTTAACCGACAGTCCGTACTTCTTATCGGCGAGCATAATCCTGTAAATGTCTAAAAGGGCCGATTCCCTTCATCTCTGCGTTCGAAGCGAACTTTATCCTATTGTCGCTTAATTAGAGCGCGATTGATCATCGCCACATAATAATTAAAATATTCATCGCGTGTCCACGTCCCATCGAGGAACGGTGCGTAACGATGTTTTCGTTCACTTACTTAGGACCCGCACGATGATCTCGGGTTCCTGCAGCCTGACTTTACAGAGCAGCGGCAAGATGCAGTCAATGATCTTCTGCTTCTCGAGTCGGCTGAGGATACAGGGCACCACGCCCATCAGGACTCGTGCGTCCGCCGAGTTGTTCTGGAATGCCTCCAGTAACTTGGGCAGCACTATGTTACGTATCGCGTTGTCCTCGAGATCGTTCGTCACGTGCGACACGGCCACGAAAGCGGCTGTCTGATGGACATACGATGAATTTCGCGAAAAATTCTCACACGGCTGCTCGCACGGACAAACTATTATTATTCCTCACGCAGATGCAGAATTTTTTATCTGTCCATTTTCCTGGCGATCTCTCCCTTTCTTTCTCTAATAATAGCATCCTAAAGCCAGAAATTCAAGAAAAGAAGAGAAAAGGATTGCTCGAGCTTTAGAAATCAGTAATTTCGAATTTTCCTCGTGTTGGATCGCGAATCGCTGTCTATTTCGCTTCAGACCGGCGTGATTGAGAATATCGTAAATTCCTTCTTTCGATATTATCGATCGTTTATTCACTCACCCGCACTTGGACGTTCGAATTCTCGAGGGACGTGCACAGCATAGCGAGCACCTCGCGCTTGTACTCCTGCGGTGTCTTCATCAGGATGAGGTGCAGGTTCTCCAGCAGGGTCACCGTACCCTGAATCGACTTTCGATTGGTGAAGAGAGGCCTGCGGGCACGCGAGACAGAAACGGAAGCATGGAGAGAGACGTGTCTATTTCACGTGTCGCGCGCTCATTTCCGGCTCGTTCGCGTGTCTCTATACGTACTTAAGCGTAGGAAACAGGATCTGATCGTATTCCTCCTGGGTGCTGTTCTGCACGATGTATAACATAGGCTGCAATACGGCGGACAGCACTTCCTGCGTTTGCAATTCCGCGTGAAGATACGTCCAAATGTGCTGATACCAGAGTTTCTGCGGAAAATGGAAAACGCTCGCGTGACGCGCGACTCGGGTGACGAGGGGATTGTCGCGTACAATTAGGGTAACAATCGGTCGACAGGGCGAAATTAAACTCGCTACGTGGACGGATCCGAGAAGATGAACAACGGACGAACTAAATATCATAGCGACTTGTTCCTCGCGTAGCTCGGCCTCTCCACTCCGCGTTTCGCAACCCACGAAGAGAAACGCGATTATTATCGGAATGTTGCGTGTTCTTGACGCGTTAGAATATACGAAGCGACGACAACAATAGAGATAGAGTATACTAGATAAAAAATATAAAAGTATTATATCTCTAATAAGCGGAGAAAATTGGAATTTGAAAGCGCCTGTTTCATTAAGGATACGATTACGATCTATATCCTGAGAAAAAAGTGCTTGATATTTGTGACTGCAATTGCATAGTGAAATAATTATAATCAGAAAAACCGGAGATTTGTAGTGCTCTCATAAATATGCCAGAAAATTGCTCTATAAGATGACTATTACTTAAACGGGATTATGTATATTTATGTACATAACCATAACCGACTCGTCTCGATTTGACGATGAGCTCGCTCTGAACGTAACGCGTAAGTTCATGCGAAGTACCTTCGGCATATACGGTAATAGCTCCTTCAAGGTTGTCGTATAAAAATGCTCCTTCTGGTACACGTCCTTCATTTTGCTGACGTCCAAGAATTGTAGCGCATGCACGAACGGATCGTTGAAGAATTTCATCAATGTCAGAACCTGCGCGGTCGGCCTCTGCTCAGGATCCTTGTGCAACAGACGAGACACGGCCTCTCGAAGAGGCATTGGCACCAGCGGCAGAATCACAGCGACGTGATTGTCCAGCTGGTTAAAGAGACGATCGGCAATGACAACGATATTTGAAAAATCCTTCACACGGACCACAACAGAGAGCCGATAAGACGAAATGAAAAATGTCTCGAATTACCTTTATTTACCGTACCTTTGGAAATTCAATCGTCAATTAAGCTTTCGCACAATTGAACTGAAAATCTACGAGGCAGTTAGTAGCGCGTTAATAAAATGAAACAAAGACAATTACGGTCATTCGATCGCTTATTTCCACCATGAAGAAATAAAACGCACAAAGCAAAATTGTATTTCGGAGAAAAACCGATGGAAACTCTTGGATTAACTTTCGAATCAAGAATGACTTTTATCTTTTCTGATTAAATCAATTGACGATTGATCGACTGCTACAATTGCAATTTCACACACACGCACATCGAGAAATAAAAAGATTACCGCGAAAGAATAAAACTTGCGGAAGGAAACAAAGAATAATGAGAATGAAAATATAACAATAAGCAAGAATAGGAAAGAAAATCGGTACTTATTCACCAAAGTTAGTAAGAGAGGGAAAGAGAGGAATAGAAGAAGAAGAGTTCTGCGAAAGTAGACTCGCGCCGTGTAAAGCGTGTGTACAGTAATCCGACGGTGATGTCTGCAGATGCTCTAGAGTTAAATCCCCTTAAGGATCATCCATGTTCGTTCTTTTACGAGTCTGAATCCTCATCTGGCTCTCAGATAGATTAACTTACGGTCTCGAGTTGTTTGAGGTAATCCGAACAGCTGTGATTCGCCTGGATCAGCGGCCGACCCTCATTGTAAATCGCACATATCGTCATACCGAGGCTGTACATGTCACTGTTAAAAGTGCTGAGCTTTTTCTGCTGTATCTCCGGCGCTGCAACACGTTGTTGGTGTTGCAGTCGCGGCGTTACGCGCTCCATCAGCAATGCAAATAAAATCGTTTTAGCGCAGCCACGGCTGCCCTCGGTAATTCCCGAAGTTCCGCAATTGAAGCCTCCGTAGAGAAAGAGAGTGAGAGAGGAGATGCTAAACGGGCTTTGCTTATCACCAAAGTTTGGAAAGAGAATGAGCTTTCCCGTATAAATCCGATCCCATTAATGCTCAGAGCAAGATAATATTTTTCTTTCTGTGTAAATAACGTAGTAACTTGTTTTACGTGCGGATAACACGTTGGACTGCGCGCAGAAAAATCACCCCTCTTGAAGGAGTAATTTCTATTTATTAAATGTCTAGTTGCGTGATAAAAGGAAATTCGGTTTCTACAGATATCACGGGGGAAATTCGTTATCATTAAATTGAGCGAAATAGACGCGTCGGGGACATGTTTTTAATTATATCAATCTCTCTAACGCAATAGAAACTCTCTCCCGATCTTATTATCGAACGACACTCGAGAGACACGGAGTCACCAGAGAACAACTTTTGCAGCGTGGGCAGCGTTAATAGATTTTGCGATGTCCCTCACCTATATAATCCAGATTCGGCTGGGTCATTTTCGGCATGTGCTTCCTCCACGATTGCACCGCTATCGGTACCTCATCGACCTTCTCTGACAAGCGAAAGGCATTCTAAAGTAACGGACTGCTCTAGACTCGTGCGTCTGATATCTTTTTTTAATATCGATCGATCCACAGAGACGACGAGCGAATAAAATCAACGCGAGACAAGTGATGCGTTATTAAAAACGATCAAACGAATTCCCCGGCGAGAAATTACGAGACATATCGACGAGAGTCGATACTCACCGGTAAACTCGAACCCCGACAGCTTCCATGTGCCTCTCTTCGTAATGATAATGCTCGTTGGACAAACGTTTCTGTGGAGATACTTGATGTTGTGGAGAAACAGCAGAGCTTCTGTGATCTGTGAGAAGAGAAAAGAAAAAGGATAAGCGGGATTCACTGCAGGAGCGATTTATCGAACCGTGCGCTGTTAAACACGCGAACGTTATCGCGCACGAGTTCGAGTTGTAGCTTAACGGCATTAAGCATTCTATTACGCTTAGTAATACATTCTATTATGCGGGGGCGCAGAAATTCATTTTTGAGAAAATTCACTCCGATCGCTCACTCCGTCGTACGCATACGCCTGGACCTCGACTTAATTTTCCGTCAACGTGACCTCGTTCTATCGCGCGTCTACTACGATATTCGTGCTTACGCACAATGTCACGGTCATACATGCGTACTCGAACTTCTAAATCGCCTCTTTTACTCCGTACCCCGAGGTTACGATCGCGCAGTTTCCCCTTCCGACTCCAGTGGAAAAAGCGGAAATTTCACATTTTCTCGCAATTTCACGCTGGAAAATGCAATTCTTTGCGAAAAGTTTCAACATCAAACGTTGTTGTTGCACGAATGGTTGCTGCAATAATTTTTTCGTCTTCTTTTCTGGTTTTTTTTTTCAATTTTTATCTTACGTACCTATCGTAACGTTGCGCGACGCGACGTTGCGGCTGATACGTGGAGTATGTGGTTTTTATCGACAAAAAATTCAAATTGCCCGACTATGTTGAATATTATAACACAGAACAGGGTCAGCGGAAGAACGTTATTCGCGATATCCCGGATGTAGGGGAAAAAGCGCTTAAAAGCAAGCTCTTTCTATCTTTTTCTCCCTTCCGAGGTATCTTTCTTTATACGCGCTCGCGACACATTAAGCGGACGAGCTCCTTTATACTGGTCCCGGAGTCGAAAAAACACGACGACCGTCCGCGGAAATATGGAGGCAAACAGAGCAAATGAAATTTATCGAACTCGAGTTACACGGAATATGTAACAACCGAGAAAAGGAAAGAGAGAGAGAGAGAGAGAGAGAGAAGGATTAACGGATCATGTTATTTTCAGCGCACACCTTGTGACATCGTGCTCTCCATGTATTTCGACGGAAGAAATACCGCAACCGGAAAATCTATTTTTGCGTGAAATAGCGAAATAGCGCGAGATATAAACAAATAGCCGCTAAATTCATTGTATAACATCATCGCAAACATCTGTCACCCGCGCGAATTCGCCCGTCAGGAGCGCATGACGTCCGGCCGCGAGAATATCGATGTGAAAACGACAAATCCGGGCGCAATTGCGGATTTTCGCTTTTGTCGTTTCGCTGTATCCCGAGCGATCTCATTAATTTACGGCACTATTGCTTTATATTCATTCGGGGGACAATGAATTGTGAAGCAACGCACGCCGATAATTATCCATCCAGCCGTAGGAAATTATCGTGTTCTCACCTGCAACAACCCGTACTTGATCTCCAGCTCGAGCAGCTCGTATTCCTTGATGAATGTCGAGCGGTGGCTGGTGGCCGGTGGATGATTCTGCTTCGCCATATGCAACGTGGAGGGTTGCGCCGCGAGGGTATTCGCCAGCTGCTCCTTGTAAGCCAGGACGTTCGCCAGGCTGGCGAGCACCGGCTCGGACGCGAAGGCCAACGTGTCCGCGCACTCTTCGACTTTATACGCCTACGTTTTGATACATCGAATCATCGATTTACGGTGGCGGCTCGCGAAAGTCGCACAACACGCTGGTGATGGCTGGTGATGTGTTTGTATGTGTGTGTGTGTGTTATTTGTATATCGATTCGCGTTCCAATCAATTCTTCCGACTCGACAAAGCATGCTCGTTGAAATTCTCCGAATGGATAAAACGACGCACGGTTTTCACGTTGACCTTTAATATCACGCGCGCGCGCCGTAATACACACATATACCTGCAGTAACTTGGGATGCGAGAAGCGCTCCATTTGAGTGGCACCTTCGCGCAGTATGTCCGTAACAACCTCTTTGCGCTTTGGCTTGTGTAGTTTTTCAACGGATCGCTTGTCGAAAAGGAAGATCGACACCTCCTGCAAGCAAAACACCAACAACGTTGTTCTCTATTGCGTCGCGAAACCCGCTCGAGACAGATTTGTTTGAAGAGTTGAAAGACTCTCTCGGTGTGTGCGCACAAGATTAAAAGCCTTCGGAGCTTCGTCGCGATATGTCACATCGGAAAAAATGGATCGGTCCAACTGTTACTGTTGACTGAATCTCGTAGTTGAAATTACTATGTCAGATCGTCGATCTGATTCGATTTTTATTCAATTTCATTCAATCGCATGTATACGACAAAATTTGCGTAACATTTGACACTTTTTATCTGACTTGTTTCGCTTTGTGCAATAGTCCGGAGCTAGTTACCATTCTATCTTTTTTCCGATAGCCGTCGTAAATTCGCCAAGCGTTCTCGGGGCCGGCCGTGGCGGACTGCCTGCCGATCTCGTACATGTTGCGGATCGGATCGGGCAGCAAGTCGCTCGGCGTCGTGCCTTTGGACTTTGCGAACATGATGATATCTCAGCGGTGAATCGGCCCTCTATTACCTGCCGAAACGAAAATTAGATTCGCGTCACATATATATTCTGAATCGTTACACAAGAAAGATTCAAGTAAATAATTACTCCTTAGCAAACTTTCATCCGGAATTAAGTAAATATTGCTTGAATAAATATTACTTTTGTGGCATCTTTTTTTATATTCAAATAATATTTATCCGATACAAAGAAAACTTGGTAAGGAGTATTGGAGTAATAATTTACTTAAATCACTTTATTTTTTCTGTGTGACGGGGGGGGGGGGGGG